AGAGAGAGCCTAATTTCAATGAGTTGACGGAATTTATTATGTCTCGTGCTAAGATAACTAGTAGTAGGTTCGGAAGATTAGTTTATCGGGCTAAAACAGGACATAATACGGAAGCTACTAGTGGTCTGCGTGCGAGACATGAGGATTCTTCGTTTCTATCTAACGCACGCCCGGAAATTAAGAGAGTTGTCAATTATATCGGGTTGAAGGCTGTTGAAGGACGAGTATGTGACCGTGACGATGTAAAACCTCTTGATGCGTATCCCAGTAAGAAGCCGGTTGGTGTAACAGATAAGATGGCTTTTCTAAGTATGGAAAAGAAAGAAAAAGGTGAAAAGTGTAGGCATCAAGATGGATCCGAAGGGTGTGATGATAAAAGCCTCTTAGCTGCTCGAAAAGCCTGGAACGGTTATTTGGATTCGAGTAAACAGAGGTTCGTGAGTTCAATAAATATGAATAAGGCCCAGGCAGGATTGTCTGGACGGAATAAAGCCTATGTTCGGAACCCTTCATTTAGGGTAAATTATATAACGGGACCTAGAGTAGATTCTAGGATAAGTGATGGCGGTACTGTAAAGGCTAAGAAGCCTAGGAAACAACATGATGCTACTATTATTAAGAAGCCTAAACATCATTATCTTTCGGATGCTATGACTAGCAATGGAAATAGTAGTCATCAGAATCTGAGTAGTGACAGCGATAATAAGGAGACAGAAAGTGTCAACAGTCCACTTATAGTGATTAGTCGATCAACTTCATCGAACGAGCCTCCTAGTGTTTCGACGTCATCGGACCTTGTCACGAACGTTAAGTTGATTGAGGATACACAAGGTTGTGTAACTGTAAGTGTCCCTACTTCGGTTGACTGTCAGTCAAGTGATGATGAGAAGGAAGCGTCTGATGGTAACAACCAATCTACAGTGTTGCATGATAATGATGCTATTGATGAGCATATGTCTTGTGTCTCTGAAACGGACCATGAAGAACAACAAGTGAGTTTATCAGTTTCGAATTGCGATACTAATGCTGTTCTTTCATGTAGTGAGATGAGTTATACAACAATGGAAGAGTTTCACTCTACGGATGCTAATGCAGACCGAAACGACGCGACTTGTCTGACAGAACGGAATCATGATGACGTTGATAATAATCTGGATGTCACTGATGTGACAAATAAGTTACCGACGATGACGAATGCTGATCAAACCTCCTCTGTATCAGGAGATGGAGAGATAAATATTGATCCCATGTTATGCTACTTAAAGTCTTCTGGAGACGAAGAATTGACAAAATTGGAGATCCCACCCTTGCATATTATCTATGGGTCAAGAACTTCTGTTGACAAGTCAGCATCACGGACTTCATTGTATCTGCTGATCGGAGCAAGTGGTGGTGGAATGACGACTCATCCCCATGATATGGAATGTAGTTCCCGGATAGGGTATGACCAGTTCTACGACGTGCTGTACATGTTCGTGTGGGTTAATTGGATAAGGTTTATACTACCGTTAGGTCATGCTACGATAGATAGGGGAATCAAGGGCCTGATGGGAAGGTATAGGTACCTAGTTAGCTTGATAGGTCATATCCATATGTTGGACGGCGGGTAGGCGTACTGCTGTAAGTCCTACACGTTCTTCCGGTGTGGATTAGGGGATGAGTGGGAACGCTAAATTGACGTGTCATTAACGCTTGCTTTTTTGCATGGAGGGATTTTGCGGGCCGGTGTAGAATCCTTTTTGAATGTTTTGTTTTTTGGAAAATCCCTCCATGTTTACATATTTTTGTTATGACGTGACGGACTCTTTCTGTTGACATTTTTGGTATTTTATTTGATTCCAGTTTGAGATTTTATCATTGTATATTGCTATTATTTCTATATTTTGTACTTATATTGAAGTTTTTGTGTTTGTTTCTGAACTGTATAAATGTTGTTTAAATTTGATCTTTAATATGGCTACAGCCATATTTGGATTGATCCGGTAGCAGTTGGACTTAACGTCACTTATTCACCCTTGTTGGATACTCTTCGGAGTAATTGTAACCTGGAAGGTGCATCAATTCCAGAATTTTTGCGTTTTCTCGACTTTGGACTGGGAGATACGAGTTCAGGTTGCACCTATTGGAACTCATTGGAACTGCCACCGTAGAAAATCCATTTACACTATTCTCCAACCTTCTTTGTCCTAGGCTTACCTTTCCAGTCCTGTCCAATTTTTGTTCATTCTTGTCATGTCTGTCTCCATTTCTCGGCGTAATATGTTCTTTGGCCTTCCTCTTTTCCTTTTGCCTTGAGGGTTCCAAGTAAGGGCTCGTCTTGTAACTCAGTTTGGTGCTTTCCGCATTGTGTGTTCTATCCACTTCCACCGCTTTTTCCTGATTTCCTCCTCCACTGGAATTTGGTTCGTTCTCTCCTACAGTAGGTTGTTGCTGATCGTGTCTGGCCAAAGGATATGGAGTATTATTATTATTATTATTATTTTGCGGAGGAAACTGTTAATGAATACTTGTATCTTCCGGATGATAGTTCTACAATTTTATGCTCCACATAGAAGAACTGTCTTGACATTCACATTGAAAATTCTGATTTTGGTATCAATCGAAATTAGTTTTGAGTTCTAGATGTTGTTTATTTATCCGCGCTTTCACATCCGCATAAGATCCACTATGCTCGTCCATGATGCTGCTTAATTAGTTTAATTGCAGAAATGCTTGTCAATGATAGTGCCCAGATATATGAAGGTTTTAAGTCCTCCAAGGCATCTCCATCAAGAGTGATATGGTTGGCGCGGGTTGTATTGTATCGGAGAATCGTACTTTTCCGTTTACGTGTGTTGAGACCTGCAGCTTCTGAATCTGCTTCCACACTGTTGCATTTGTTGTTGCGTTGGTGTTAGAAGAGCTAGATCATCTAAGAAATTAAAATCGTCCAGCTGAATCGTGGTTGTCCACTGTGTACCGTTCTTCATAATCCATTCGATCACCTGGCCAAAGAGGAAGGGTGAGAGTAATCAACCTCGCTTGACACCAGTCTTCACATCAAATAAGTCTGTCAGCTGTCCTCCGTGTACGATTTTGTAGTTTAATTGATCATAGGAATTGTGAATGATGTTGACTGTGTTCTGAGGGAGGCCATCTTCCAGTGCAATAGGGGGCGGGAAACAGCAGGTGGAATTACGATATACATCAAAACTGTATCTAGTTATATATTAACCGTACCATCACCCGGTACTCAAATAATCAATGCTACTGAACCACGAACACGACCGGCACAGAATACTTGATTCAAAGGGTCTACCAGGCCTCAGGGTACTATAGCTCAGATAGATAAGCTAACCGATATTAAGAATACGCCCTAGATTTAACTAGATACTAGTGACTGAGAGCTTCAACCTTCCATCCAAAATTCTTAGCAAGCAGAATGAAAGTTATACCAGTTGGTTTAGAGAGCGACTAGCCAGAGCCATTAAAAGTTCCAAACTGACTGAGCATGGGTGTGACGCCACCTTATGGGACAAGGATGGGACTCCCTCAAACGTCGGTTATTTTTTAAGAAGTGGTCAGCTCCTAGTCTAGGATTTTTGTATCTACACCTATGGGAAGTAATGACAATGACGTAATCATGTTTTACACGATCACAAACAACCGGTAAACGCGACCTGTTCAGACATTCACTGGAGTCACATTAACCTCCAGCAGAATCGATGTAGGCACTTTCCCTTTAGTCTCTAAAGGAGGATATATGCTGGATTCAACCTGTTAAAGACCAGCAGCATTACAATCAATACTTTCGAAGGTAGTGGAAGAATGGGTGAGCAAATGAGAAAGTACGTGGATAATAAAAACATTGTCCACGAATCTCAACATGGTTTGAGAAAGACGGATAGTGTACATTCACCTTTTTCATAGCATAAGACAGCTGGACAACCAACTGGGACCGAAAAATGCCGGTTTATATAATATCCTTTGACTTCGCAATAGCGTTTAACACTGTACCTCAGGTACTTCAATTAGCGAAGATCGCGAAGACAGGATTCACTGATACATGTCTATCTTGGCTCAGAAACTACCTTGAGAAAAAAATATCTCGTGCTAAGATATATAGAGTTTATGCAAACAGGCGAGTCTCAACATCAGGAGTTTTTCAGAGGTTCACTGCCCCTTTCGGTTATTTCTTAATTACTTGTTAACTAAAATTGGCTCGGCGTCATCAATCCACGCAGACTAAACGAAAGTTCGGAGGTCCATAATCAGCAAAAATGACTCATTTGTGCTCCGAAATGATCTTACAAAAATTGGGGAATGAGCAGCGAAAAATGGATTAGAACTCAACCAGTCGAAATGTGACAATATGGACATTTTACCCCACATGAAGCCAAAAACTCACACCCTCAGTGGAAGTCCTCACATTAATGTTTCTTCATAGCGCAACTTCGGGTTAATAACCACAGAAAGCCTAAACACCATTTCGAACTACATAGGAGATGCAGACAAGGCTAATGAAAGTTTTCACTTTATTCGAATGCCACTTGGTACAGTCACCACAGAACAGCTACTAACTCTCTTTGAAACATACTCACTGGTCCAACTTGGAGTTAACCATGCTTTTTCAGCTCATATTTTTAAAAGAGACACAAGTCCTGTAGACGGAAAGTATAACAGTTTAATGAATGGTTTATTTGTTTATCTACTTGTTTCTGAAACATCCATCTTAGAATTTACTATTCTTCACACTGCAGACAACCGAAATCAGGCCTGGTACTGTGATTGCTGTTGGTATCCAGAAACCCTTCTTCTCTGATTCAAGTGCATTTAATGAAATCTCGGAACATTCAACTAAAATTAGTGCATTCGAGTAGCTAAACTGCCATCCATGGGAAATGAAAAAAACACTTGTGAACATATCGAAAGGACAAGAATAGAGTGCGAAGAAATCAATTGGTTTATACTAGCTTGAGAAATAGATATTGGATGACGGAGAGTTTCAGCTTATCACTTTGGCGGTGTCAAGGTCAGAAGCGAGTTCCGACAGCAGTTTGGGGTCATCGAAGTAGTGACCCGATTCTGGTTAGTTTGGACTGCATGTTGTCAGCTCTTGAACTGCATCAAGTTGAGAGTTTGAATTCCAGTACAAATAAATTCAGATGACATAGAGCGTAGTAGTTTCTTTAATACAGCACCAGTAGTTTGTGCATTTGCGACAACTGTCGGCTTGGTAATTCGGTAATAGATTTGATATCCACTGTATTGTTTTGGCAGCAAGGTTTGGAACAGAAAGTTTAAAAATTATTTACTGTCATTACATGGTAACCCAAGGGTTTAGTATTGTACTCCACTAACTGAATCTAACATTGTACAATGCTAGTTTCCCAACTCCTAACGCCTAATTTCAAGAAATAAGATCTTAAAAACCCTCGCTTCCAAAGTTATTTTTTGTGTCTGTGGTTTTCGTTATTTAATCTTGACTTCGGTCTTCAAGATGATTTCGAAGGTCTTAGTGGTGTCTTATGTAGTTCGGTAATTTGAGTTTATTAAGAGGTTAACTGATATAATGATCCTTTGTGCAAACACATTTAGATAGGTATAAAGGATGGTTGGGAAATTCTGTATGGGGCTGTCAGACTATGATATATATTGGTCGTGGAATGCTTGCAACTGACAACTAAGTTGTTAGAAATCAGTGGTAAATGACCCTTGTGCAATATGTTTTAACTTTAAATGAAGCTTACTCACAAAATCAACCCTTGTTTTGTGCTCGTCCTATTAATGCCGTTCATTCTTCTCATTATAGTCTGGTCAAAACGAAGCTGTCAAATCTAACATTAGTTCAGCAAAACACCTAATAAGACTAAATCAGCAAAGAAAATTATAAAAGGATTAATAAAGTTAAGAAAATGCTCTACAGTTAGCAGTTGCTCAGGAGTCAAGTGGAAGGAAATTAGGGATACTGTTAGTATGTTATTGGCTACACTTTCCAAGGAAATCCCTCATCTAGCGTTATTCCGCAAAGCTTGTTGGGTTCACCTCTTACGGAATATCATGGATCTGAGATTATTAGGGATAAATGTTATATTAGCTTAAATTTCCCACATCAGTTTTATATCCTTTGGAATTTTTCTAATACACACGTTATATTTTCTATTTCCAGATACTTAAACTTTTTTGTCATGTCGTATGCTCCAGCAGTCGATATTTCGAAAGTTTCCGACCCATCGTTTGACCAAAGTGCTCATGAAAATATCTTCGCTCTAGACATCGGTGGTTCGCTTGCAAAATTAGTATACAAACGCGTTTTTCGGTATAGACGTTCTATACCTCAGCAATGTTGTAAAAGTGTCAATGAAAATGAAATCCCTTTTGACTTTTATGAATATACGGAGCACGAGGATGAAGGACAAAAGTTATGTTTCATGAAATTTGAAACTAGGAATATAGAAGAATGTTTGGATTTTATCCATTCCAACATTATTCAGCAAAATGCTTTATCCAAAAATACAATTAATAAGATCAAGGTGACTGGTGGAGGTGCTTATCGTTATCGTGAACTGATTTGTTCGAAGTTAGGAGTTGAATTGGACAAAGAAGATGAAATGGATTGTCTTATAAGGGGATGTGTATTTATGCTTCGAAACATCCCAGATGAGTTATTTTATTACGACAAACATGCTACTCCTGCACACGTTTTTGTTCCTAACTGCTTGGTGAGTACGTTTCCTTTCCTTTTAGTCAATGTTGGGTCTGGTGTTAGTTTCTTGAAAGTTGAAAGTCCAACTTCTTATCAAAGAGTTGGTGGAACGTCTATCGGGGGTGGTACTTTTTGGGGCTTAGGAACGCTATTATCTGGAGGTAAGTCTTAATCGTGAACTAGTATTATTCACTTTTTAAGGCACACCTATTTCTTGGTAATCAGTGAAACATTACTTAAGTAGTTTAAAATTAAAGCTTTAATTTTACCACTAGTTTTCATATGAAACAAAGTAAAGTCAATGTTTAAAGTTCGATTTAGCTTCAACGTTGTTATAAGTGTGCTAATAAAAGTTTGTCCAGTTTTCTGAGCAATTATATTTTCAACATCCTTAAAATCGCGACTTGAAGATGCTCTTATACATATTAAATATGATTAAAAAACTTCTAGTTTGGTTCTTTCTTGAATTCATTGGATTGACATTACTCTTTATTTTGTGTTACTATCATGTTCTGCTAGTAATTTTAATTCCCTTGATACTATAGGAAAGTTTACTTTCGATGAGCTTTTGGAGATGGCGGATTCCGGGGACCACCGTAATGTTGACATGTTGGTACGTGATATCTATGGAGGTGCGTACGAGACACTTGGACTCTCTGGGGATGTAATTGCAAGCTCATTTGGCTTAGCTGCCCGTCATCCGGAACAACCTCGTGTATTAGGCGATATGGTGAAGGCTCTACTAATTACAGTTAGCAAGTAAGTATGCATCAGTATTTCTTTTATTTCTCAACAAGATCTGGTGTTCTTATATCCTGTCAAAATCAACATTAAAAGTGTTATTAGTGATTTTGCAGTAACACCATCCTGTCCATTGATCAAACAAAATACTTAACACTTCACAATGGCACAATCATTTGACTTCTGATATTTTTGCTATAAAAACCTCTGGCCTTAGTAACTAAAACTCAGCCTATATTCAAAATCAGTAGTGGTCGTTAAATGTGCTTGATATATGTTTGACAAGAACAAATACATATTTAGCGCAACATCCACTCAGACAACCACTGGTATATATTATGTATATACATATAAATTTTGTCAGCGTCTTCACCGAATAGAACTGTGTCATCGACCTATTCTAAATCAATAAGTCTATTCCTGAAAATTCAGACGAAGGTATTGTTATATCTAGAAGCAGGTCCATGAAAAAATTGAACAAGGATTAATAAAATGGAAGTCTTTGAAGGATACCACTTGAAGTAAACGATTACGATGACAGTTCGCCATGATCTCTCACTCGACCTGTAGTGTTCGAGTAGAAAGCTTGTATAAGGTTAATGTACTTCTTCGGTACACATTTTGATGAAAGACACTGCCACAGAACATCACGATCAATAGAGTCAAATGCTACTTTATGGTCCAGGAAGACAACTATTGTGTCTGTGTAATAAAAACTGTCGTAGTGTGAAGATGTGACCTATACAGTCACATCCATGTGTTAAACCAATCTGGTATTTTTGAGCCTGCTCCTCATGAGCTAACAATTCAGACACTATATTTATTAAACTGATTCCTCTGTGATTTTCACAAGAGGACTTTCGTCCTTTCTTGTAGACTGGGAAAATCAGTGATTGAGACCAGATGGATGAGATTACGTCCAGTTCCCAGATTCTACCTAAGATCTCAGTCAATCTAGCTGCTAATGCCGGATCACCATCCTTGAAAATCTCAGGGGTCAGTCTATCAGAACCTGTTGCTCTCTCTCGCTTCAGATTTCCTATCTCTCTTTCAACTTCATAAAGAGTCGGAGGACTTACATCGATGTGGCATTCAGGATGACTGGAGATTGTGGGCAACCGAAGTGTGGTTGAAGATCGGGCGGGATGAGCTTTCGAGCATCCATCATATATTCATTATCATTAACCCAAGAGGTTTTCTTGCATCCAGTAAGGCGCAAACAAATATGCGCTCGCTCTAGAGCATGGCCTGAATCTAAACAAGTGCTCCAGAATGAGAGCGCAGTCTTCAACAGAGCCTCTCCATCGATGGCTTATTGCGATGTGGTCTAGTTGGGTCCAGCTTTGAAAGGACTTTTGGGGTCGTCAGGTCAAAATGTGTTTTACCTTATGCTTAAGCTCGGAATAGGCGGTTATCTGAGCATAGCTGCAGCAGACGGTCTTCATTATCTGGGCGATCAGCCAGGACACCATAAGATCCATCCAGGTGTCTCTCCTTTTCGCTGAGTCTACCTATTTGAGCATTAAAGTCACCAGCCATTATTACTATATCAGAGCGCTTGATTTCCTGGAGGAGGTCCGGAAGCTTCCTGTAAAACTCATCTTTCACCTCGTCTGAATTGCAGTCAGTGGGAGCGTAGGCAGATACGACGAAGAGGCAACGGCGAGTTTCCCTGTCTTACTGAGTCCTTACTGTGCCGTTCAGTCGGACAGCGCATAAGTGACTGTCTATCGGGATCCAGGCTAGGGGAGCTAGTTCTGCTAGGTAGGACTCAGTGCTATACTTACACCAGCGAGGTCACGGGAAGCAGCTTCACGGCTTTCATATACGCGAAGAGTAAATCGAGCTGCTTCTTTATTTTGACAAGGTGAAATTAATGATTTTACTAGGATCCTGTATGCGCGTTTCGGAGACGCAGCATACACGGATGTTGCGAGATTCCAGGGTTCTAGCTAATAAAGCCTGTTGCCCTATTTGACACAAAGTTTCGAACATTCAAAGCTCCTATATGTAATTTAGTACAGGGTTTCAAGAGACCAGGAATAATGTTTCGAGAGCTCGTACCGTTTGCTTCAGTGGCGTGAGGTGATAAATGATCGAAATAAGGGTTGGTCGAGGAGATAAGAGAATTATTAAGAGGTGTAGAAAGGATTTGATTGTGACCGATTTGGTCTCGTGTGCTTTTATGGGTATGTGGGCGGATGTTATTTCCTGGCTGCTCAAACAGTGCAAGGTTGTTTCTTAAGGAACCTGAAAAGGAAGGCTGATTAGTGTCGGTATTAGAGACCTGGGAGAGTGATCGCAGAGCCCAAGGGTCAACTGCTTCAGGCCGGTCACGCACAGACTTTTTACGAGAGATTTTTGAGTATTAGCTCCGCTCTTAAAACCCCTTTTCGGGCAGCCCTTAACGCCGGAGACGGAAATCTGTGAGGTAGGGTGAGGTGTGAAATTTTTTGGGTCGGCCTTTTCTAACCATTCCTTGCTTGTGAGAAGGCAGCATTGCTGCAGATGCTGGTTGTCCGAGGGGAACACCTTACCGCTGTCACACCCCTCTGCAGTCAGCAGTACGACTTCGCCCTCAGACTTTGAGCAGCTGCTTTTAGTTTCATCGGTCTCCAATCGACCTGCCTCGAATGGTAGAACCTTCAGGAACATATGTTCCAGCCAATATAGCTCGGTTGGGTCATCAAGATAGGCACGCTCGACCAGCTACGGTCGGGGACTCATCGGAGCATTCATCGTATATCCTGGGACCACTGAGTAAGCAGTCTGCTGTCCCCGAACGTAGCTGGTCGGGCGTGCCTATCGTGGTTACCCAACCGAGATATATTGGCTTGAACGCATGTTCGTGTAGATTCTACCATACCGGGCAGGTCGATTGGAGACCGATGAGTCTGGAAGCAGCTACTTAATGTCTGAGGGAGAAGTCGTACTGCTGACTGTAGAAGGTTGTGACAGCAGTAAGGTGTTTCCCTCGGACAACCAGCATCTTCAGAGATGCTGGCTTCTCACGAGGAAGGAAGGGTTTAGAATGAATATGGCGAGATTATCGCGACCTGTCATCGGAATTCTTTACTTCAGGGATGTTCACTTTCCCCATTCTTGTTCAATTTTGTCATGGACCTGCTTCTAGATATAACAATACCTTCGTCTGAATTTTCAGGAGTGGACTTTTTACCGGGAGGCTCGCTTATTGATTTAGAATAGGTCGATGACATAGTTCTATTAGGTGAAGACGCTGACAAAATACAGAGTCTTCTGACTATCCTAAGCAACAATGCAAGCAAGTTCGTGATGCAGTATCCCCTCTTGAAACTCAAAATGTTGCTTCAAGATTGGGTTGCATCAGCACCTGAACTAGTGATAGGGAGTGAAGTAGTCGAGCGTGTAAACCGCTTCACTTATCCTGGTAGTCTCGTCAGTGCTGATAGCCTGGTGAATGACGAAATCTCAGCACGGATACCGAAGGCTTGATTGGTTTTCGCCAACTTGCATCATCTATGGCGAAGGCGAGATATCCGTTTGTTGACTAAAGGAAGGGTGTAATGCGCATTAGTTCGCTCCGTCCTACTATATGGCTGTGAAACATGGCCAGTGAGAGTAGAAGATATTCGTAGGTTACTGGATTTCGATCATAGGTGTCTTCAAAGCATTGCTCGTATATCCTGAGACACTCGAGTGAGGAATGCTGTTATAAGGAAACGGGTGCTAGGTAAGAATGGCAGATCAATTGATGAAGTAATGAAACTTCATCAGTTGACGTGATTCGGACATGTGTACATGTGATATGCCTAAACCATCGGATGTCCTCGACTAGCTATGTTTTATGGTGTAGGAATAGGTTGGAAGAAAGGTAGGGACGGCCAAACCAAAACATTGCACAAATCCATGAAGTCATTGACGAGTAGACTGAACCATTTCGGTAGATGTAGACTACCTGGTTGGGGTCCGCGAGATGATAGTAATCGATGGTTAGAGACCCTGAATGACATGGCTCAAAATCGTTTGCAATGACACAGGTGCATCCACTCTTTGTGTTCTCTCAAATCTTAATCTTCTGGCTTCTTCAACCCCTCTAGTTTTGACTTTCCAAACTTTTCTCACTGAACCATACTTCTTGAATAATATCTTCTAATCCTAACCTCTCCGATTACTTCTAATACCTTTACTACCTCTCCTACTGTTGGATTTGAACTGACAATTATATCTCTGTGCTGATCTGGTATGGCAACATGAACCGATGTAGTTACGTACGAAGTTGTACGCTGCATTTGACTGACTGACTGCCAATTGTCTCAAGTTTCCGTCTCTTGCAGCATTTTCCGCCGTCATTGCTAGATCTTCCACATATTTTCGTTTGTCAGCTCTTATGCTCTTCTTCACTTCCCTGTTTGTTTCTGTACATGCAGCTTGTGCCTTAACTTTCTCTGCTCTTGTTCGGCTGACATTGATTGCGGCCCTCTTGTTCCTCCTTTCTTCAATTTTTGCAAGAGTACCAACAGAGATCCATTCCTTGTGATGGTACTTCTTGTAACCCAGAACTTCGTGACATGTTGAAGTAATTGCCTCCTTGATCTTTTTCCAATCGTTCTCCAATCTTGCTTCCTCTCCATTGAGTATATCGTGCAAGGCCTGGAACCTATTGGTGATGGTTATCTTGAATTCGTTGAGTTTTATGGTGTCCCGAAGAAAGGCCGTATTAAACTTCTGTGATGTTGTCTGCCCTGTTATCCAGTGTTTCTTGAGTTTCGGTTTTATTTTAGCGACCAGCAAGTGGTGATCTAAGGCTATATCAGCTCCTCTCCTGGTTCTCACATCCTCCATAGTCCTTCTGAACTTTTTGTTGATACAGATATGGTCGATTTGGTTCTGAGTAGTGTCGTCCGGTGAAATCCATGTGGCTTTGTGTATGCGCTTTTGCGGGAATATTGTGCGCATAGGTTTGCAAATCTCTCACTATTTTCGTTCCTTTCTCCCAGTCCATGTCGTCCCATGATGTCTTCATATCCAGTGTTGTCCATTCCAACCTTGGCATTCAGGTCTCCCATAAGAATCGTCAAATCCTTTGGTGAGCATCTGTCGACGATTGACCGCAGCCTTTCATAGAATTGATCTTTATCGTTGTCATTGTAGTCATTGGTAGGTGCATAGCATTGGATGACATTCATTGTAATGTTTTCTTTCTTTGTTTAGAAGGATGCTTTAATGATCCTTGGTCTATGATATTCCCGTCCTATCAGTACCTTTTGTGCTTGTTTGGACAGCATCAGTGCAACTCCTTGTGTATGTGAAGCATTTACCTCTTCATGACCAGAGTATAACAGCAGTTCCCCTGAAGCTAATCTCAGTCGTCCTACTTGTGTCCAATGTGTTTCAATGATTCGAAGCACCTCAGAGTGGTATCTTTTCATTTCTGCAGCAACTTATAATAATCTTCCAGTCTCCCACAATGTACGAACGTTCCATGTACCTAAAAGAGTGGTTGCTCTGGTTGTCAGAAGAGGCATCGGCCCCGTGACTTCCGAGGGAACTCGGCTTTCATTATGCGACGTCATAACTCTTCTTACAACTCCCAGGCCAGAGTTAAAATGGTTTGAATTATTTCTTCTGGTTAGCGTTTTTTGGCAAGTTAGTTTTCTGGTGGGATGGGGTCGATAACCCCATGCCCAACCCTCCTCCTTTATCCGGACTTGGAACCGGTAGTAGCCCCGAAGGGTCTGCAGGCGGAGTTTTCTGCCGACTGACTGGTTGACGGAATCGCTGGTTAACGGTTTTTCAATGAAATAACTCAGAACGGTTTTCGATGCTGGAGGTGCATCGATTCTGTATGTTTCACTAAATTCTAGGCCCCTGAATTCCTCATAGCTTTCTTTCATTTCACCACTTGAATTTTTTCAACATTATTTTTGGTGTCTATTGTTCTCCGTCACCAATGATACTGTTGCTACTTTTAATACTCTGGTATTTGTTCTGACACTCTCATCTCTCTTGCTAATGGGATACGGCAACTTGAACTAATTTACTTACGCACCAAGTTTTATTTTGCATTTTGTTCACCTTCGAAAAGTTTAAATCTATCGGTTAATCAACAACTATCGAATTCAAAATGCATATGTCTTACATGAGAAGTCTATTGTCTTCTGTAAAGGTTGCTTTTTGCTAATTTACCTTTGTTTCCGAAAACTTAGATCAAACAATAATTGTCAACATAGTCTTGCACCTGAATCCAGCAAAACGTAGAGAGCACTAGACAGCTGTTTCATCTCTGCCTATGACTCATCAACTTCACTCAGTTTTGATTTTATGCAGACTGAAAGACTTAAAGCCTGCAAACATAGGGCGACCTGTTTTTAATAATGTATCCTCAGTTAAATTTAGTTGTTAGACGGTAAATTTATATATGTTTATGTAATCTTCAGTGTTACTTTATATTGTTGTTTTCCTTGATGAATTTTTACAGTAATATTGGTCAACTGGCTTGCTTGTATGCTAAACAGCATAGCCTTACACGAATTATTTTCGGCGGATATTTTATTCGAGGACATGGGTTAACAATGGAAGTAAGCATTTTATTTTAGCAATGAAAATTGCATATGCATTATTACATATTCTCATTAATGAAACCATTTAGCTTTTAGGAAGACTTTCTACTCTTTTGAGTTCATCTAAATTGTCGTAGTCACAAATAACATAGAGCATGTCTTGAATATGCGTCTGGCCAAAACTTCATCTCAATAAGTACAATATAAAAGGATTAACAAGATGGATATTATCAGTCAACAACAACATAGAACTTCATACGAACGTACATCAGTTCAAATTGCCATACCACATTACCACAGGGGTGCAATTGTCCATTGAATCCCGTAGTAGTAGAGTTAGTAGAAGCAGCCAAGTCTATGTGTTAAACCAATCTGGTATTTTTGAGCCTGCTCCTCATGAGCTAACAATTCAGACACTATATTTATTAAACTGATTCCTCTGTGATTTTCACAAGAGGACTTTCGTCCTTTCTTGTAGACTGGGAAAATCAGTGATTGAGACCAGATGGATGAGATTACGTCCAGTTCCCAGATTCTACCTAAGATCTCAGTCAATCTAGCTGCTAATGCCGGATCACCATCCTTGAAAATCTCAGGGGTCAGTCTATCAGAACCTGTTGCTCTCTCTCGCTTCAGATTTCCTATCTCTCTTTCAACTTCATAAAGAGTCGGAGGACTTACATCGATGTGGCATTCAGGATGACTGGAGATTGTGGGCAACCGAAGTGTGGTTGAAGATCGGGCGGGATGAGCTTTCGAGCATCCATCATATATTCATTATCATTAACCCAAGAGGTTTTCTTGCATCCAGTAAGGCGCAAACAAATATGCGCTCGCTCTAGAGCATGGCCTGAATCTAAACAAGTGCTCCAGAATGAGAGCGCAGTCTTCAACAGAGCCTCTCCATCGATGGCTTATTGCGATGTGGTCTAGTTGGGTCCAGCTTTGAAAGGACTTTTGGGGTCGTCAGGTCAAAATGTGTTTTACCTTATGCTTAAGCTCGGAATAGGCGGTTATCTGAGCATAGCTGCAGCAGACGGTCTTCATTATCTGGGCGATCAGCCAGGACACCATAAGATCCATCCAGGTGTCTCTCCTTTTCGCTGAGTCTACCTATTTGAGCATTAAAGTTACCAGCCATTATAACTATATCAGAGTGCTTAAGTTTTTGGAGGAGGTCCAGAAGCTTTCTGTAGAAATCATCTTTCACATCGTCTGAATTGCAGTCAGTGGGAGCGTAGGCAGATACGACGAAGAGGCAACGGCGAGTTTCCCTGTCTTACTGAGTCCTTACTGTGCCGTTCAGTCGGACAGCGCATAAGCTACTGTCTATCGGGATCCAGTCTAGGGGAGCTAATTCTGCTAGGTAGGACTCAGCGCTATACTTACACCAGCGAGGTCACGGGAAGCAGCTTCACGGCTTTCAGATACGCGAAGAGCAAATCGAGCTGCTTTTTTATTTTCACAAGGTGAAATTAAATTAATGATTTTACTAGGATCCTGTATGCGCGTTTCGGAGACGCAGCATACACGGATGTTGCGAGATTCCAGGGTTCTAGCTAATAAAGCCTGTTGCCCTATTTGACACAAAGTTTCGAACATTCAAAGCTCCTATATGTAATTTAGTACAGGGTTTCAAGAGACCAGGAATAATGTTTCGAGAGCTCGTACCGTTTGCTTCAGTGGCGTGAGGTGATAAATGATCGAAATAAGGGTTGGTCGAGGAGATAAGAGAATTATTAAGAGGTGTAGAAAGGATTTGATTGTGACCGATTTGGTCTCGTGTGCTTTTATGGGTATGTGGGCGGATGTTATTTCCTGGCTGCTCAAACAGTGGAAGGGCTCTGGTTGTCAGATATTATAATTGAAATGGTATTAGTAAATTAAATGTTTTGGTTATTGTCGGAAATAAAAATATGAATTAAGAATGAAAATTCTATTATAACATCAAAATTTAAGATTCTTAGATTATGATATGAGTTCATTGGATGGAGTAAATTCATTCACGTCTCTAACCAAATTCATTCCACGTTACCTAATATCTTCATCGGTTGATTATAAATGTTCACCAGATCTTGGTCAGGAAAATGTACACGTCACAACGTATGTCATTCCAACTGTCATTGACTCAATTTGTTGTTTCGGCACCTTGGTTTTGAGGAGTTTTATGTTTTTCTAGTACACCCTTTTGAGAAACAGTATAATCTATCGTGGCAGGTGTTGACTTGGTGTTTGTAAGGTATATCACAACCATTTAATTTAATGTGTTTAGCGAAGCTTTATTTACTGTTGTGTCAGAAAATACGTTTTGTTTTTAAATTATATTCTAAGATGAGAAATTCTATTTTGTGGGTATCTTTGAAAACAACTATTTGTCTTTTTCAATTTGAATTATGGAGATCAGTGTTTTTACGCATTGAAATCACCAATCAGTCATTGTTAGACCACAATTATAAACCTGGAAGCATTGGACGGCCGTTTCGTCCTGGTATGTGACTCATCAATGGGTAGGGTCGCGCAAAATCTCTAGATTGATCGGAGTTTGACATTGACACCGTTGGATGCCGGCATAGTGGTCCATAGGTTATGCGTTCGAGCGGGAGACCGAAGGTCCTGGTTCCGAATTTTGTGAGGTGCAATGGTCATGGATGTGCACTGCTGATGAGTCCCATACCAGGACGAAACGGCCGTCTAGTGCTTCTGGGTTTCTAATGGTGATCTAACAATGATTGATTGATGATTTTAAACTATTTGTCTGTAATGAAGTCAGTTTTCTCGATTATAATTCTTATCCAGCCGGTTTAGATTCAATCAAATCTAGTACCGAAAGTCAATCATTTTTTCATGATATGCTTCAGATTCACCGTGATCACCTGTTGGTATGTTACAAACTGTTACAAAATATGCGAATTGCTTCCTCATACCACTGTATCAAGGGAGCACGTCATATATACATTTAGGAATTCACTGCTTTCTGACGAAAAGTTTTATTGACATTCTCAATTTAACGTTTCTGTCGAATTTTACTAAAAGTTAGTATGATCCGTATAATGCTATTTGACTTCACATTATTTATTTTGATCTAATATACTAACCCTCATGTTTTTTTGTTTACCCAGGTAATTACCTATGCTGTTCAGTTTTGGTCAGGTGGAGAATACAAAGCTTTATTTTTACGGCATGAAGGGTATTTAGGGGCAGTAGGTGCATTTCTTAAAACTTGTGAAAATAATAATCCAGCGGAACGGAAAGCATTATGGGCTGAGAACTATGTAGTTAGCTCGAGTAATACTTCTTTCTCTGATATTTCATCTGAATCAAAGCCACTTGCAGTCAATCACAGTAAAGAAGAGAATAATTTTAGTAACGCTTCTCCTCATGATGTGGCAATTTCAAATTCTTCAGTTGATAAAGTGTCAAATCCGAGAAACTTAACAATCTCTCAGAAATCAGGGGCAGGCGAATCTATTTTAAAGAGTTCTTCAAAGTTTACCTCACAGAAACATGAAATTTCAAAACTGCCTAATTTTGAACTTGATCGTATATTTACACATTCTCTTGAAATGTTTCATTTACTGGAGTCACCTGCAAATTATTCACCGGATACATGGGATCTAACTCACGATGAAGAAGCCAGGATTTATTGGTTAGGTTGTTTTGAAGTAAGTAATATTAAAAAGATAGTGTAAGCATTTCATCAGCTTGTTCATACCTAAGTATAATTAGTTTCTTTCTGGAAAGGAATAAGAAATTTCATATAATTGAACTAAGCTGTAAAATAATTTTCAAACTTACTTTGATTTCAAATCTATTCATACAGTTGTTTTATTTAATGCTTATACTCTCAGCACTAGGTACTAGGTAAGGATGGAATATCAATTGACGAAGTAGTGAATCTTCATCAGTTGAGGTGGTTCGGACATGTGTTACACATGATATGAAAAACCATCGACTGCCTCGACTAGCTATGTTTTGTGGTGTAAAAATAGGTTGGAATAAAGTCAGGGGTGGTCAAAACATGGAACAAATCCATGAGGTCACTGATAGCTTGACTGAGCTGTTCGTAACGAGTAAAGCACTGTCTTCACAATTATTCACTCAAATATGCTAATTGCGTTATGATGTGTATAAAATGTAAATAGCTTTTACATTAACTGTCTGGAAAATTTGCTCCAAGCCTTCTATTTCAGAGTGTTTTTATAATTTTACAATACTTTTATGAACTATAATAAATTAATTGATAAGATAATTTTGTTATGGAAAACACTAGCGTGTACCGAAATCAATCTATCACCTGTCGTGTTTCCCAATTTCCACCAACAACTCTAACTTCTACAACACAACTACATTAAGTACTAACGCTCAGCAACAATTTTACTACACCTAATTCCCAATCAACCAACACACCTGTTATATTTTGATCTAAAAACTCATTTGGTTGTGTACGTCAAATGCAAGACAACTGCCGGTCGTAAATACAAAATCTCAATCTGTATGATTTATGGTACAATATTGAATATAATAAATATAATTCATTTTTATTGATATCTCTATAGAGCAGGATAAAAATTCCAAATCAGTTACTTTTATGAATCATCAATAAGTTGATTTGGAACTTGTCAACAGAAAGTCAATTGATTTTAAGTCGTTTATTTTGGGAAAAGTGTACGTTTCCCAATGCTCATGGGGCTCTATTTTTCATTCATAATTCCTCAACTTTCTATGTTCAAAACTTAGTATTCGAAATTGATATATGGTACAAAATATTTTATGAGTGAAGTTAAATGTGATTTATTGGTTACGTTGTAGTGTATTACTTTGTCTTAGTGTAGTATTCGGAGTCATTTAGTTTGAATACTTATTATCTCATCCTAATTTTCTGCATTTCAGAGTTGTGTAGAATATTATAGAGCAAAAGCCGAAGAAAGCCAATCTGACACATTATCAGATGCTTCTGATCGTTCACATCAGTTCGCTGAACGATATAAACGATTTCTACGTGAATTAAATGCAGATCCAAGTGGTCGTGGAGTACTCACTGTACGATGCCTTTTATCTGCTCAACAGCATTTCTTACGTGAATATGGATTCGGAGATGTTTTTTGTTTACAGAAAAGAGTAAGTAGAAATTTAAATCAGATATTAAAAATAGCATAAGCATAATAGCTTAGTTACTCACTTTTCAATCATTAATTAGGATTATCCACTGTTAAACATTAATCTGAGTTTCATTGGTTCATTGACATATAATTTGCTGTCCAGGTGCATTAGGCTTTTTTTATTATATTTAAGTTTATTAAGGTGGTCATCGTATTGTATGAAAAAGACATACATTCATTGAGTTATTTATTTTATTTCATTTTAAAAGTGTGAAAATCGAGCGGCTCTTTCTACTCTCATGGATAGATTAAATGAACTTTCTAAATTGAATTGGTCTGATCGTCAATTGTCTTTGATTAAAGGTCTTTTGGCTGGTAATATGTTTGATTGGGGTGCAACTGAAGCAATCCAGTTTTTAAAAGAAGCTCCGCAAAATAAATTTGGTACCGTTAACTTTCATGTTATTTTAAATAAAGTTCAAGTAGGTTGGACTTTTTTTGTACGTAAAGTCAAAATATAAATCAATGAGTTACAATCATCGAACCCACTTCATTCGGTTTGTCTTAAAAACTCAGGTTTAGCAAGTTTAGCAAGTTTACTTGGAAACTTTCTGTTTACAGAGTTACTTCCTAACACCGACCATCGTTAACTTGTTTATTTCAGTTATGCTTTTGGAAAATACGTTACATGAACATTCGTCTCCTAATTTTAAGATGGATTTAATGCGATGCTTTGACTCTCTACAAGTGGTAAAATGACTTCGTTATATCATCATCACCTGAGAAAAGCAAACAAATAACTGTGAACAATGTGTTATTTTACATCTGAAAATACATTTTGGCACTAGAATGAAATATTGTTTAACCTTTTAGTGTATCGTGATTTCATTCACTACGTCAAGTCAGTCAGTCAGTCAGTTGCAACGTAGAACTTCGTACGTATGTACATAAGCTCATGTTGCCATACCACATTATTAGCACAGAGACGCAAATGTCAAATCAAATCCCATGGTGATAAAGATGGTAGAGGTATTAATGTTATAATAAAGAAGACTAGGGTTTAAGATATTATTCAAAAAATATAATTCAGTGAGATAAGGTTAGAAAGACAAAGGTAGAGGTGCTGGCTAATCCAGAAGATTAGGATTTGAGAGAGCTCAAAGAGTGGATGCACCTGCGCCATTGCAAACGATTTTGAGCCATGTCGTTCAAGGTCTCTAACCATTGATGACTTTCGTCTCGCGGACCCCAACCAGGTAGCCTACATATACCAACATGACTCAGTCCACTTGTCAGTGACTTCATGGATTTCTGCCATGTTTTGGTTTGGCCGCCCCTAGCTTTCTTCCAACCTACTCCTACACCACAAAACATAGCTCGTCGAGGCAGTCGGTGGTTAGGCATACGTAACACATGTCCCAACCACCTCAACTGATGAAGTTTCATTACTTCATCTATTGATCCGCCATCCTTACCTAGTACTCGTTTCCTAACGACAGCATTGCTTACTCGGCTGTCCCACGATATACGAGCAATGCTTCTTAAACATCTATGATCGAATACTAGTAACCTACGAACATCTTCTACTCTTAACGGTCATGTTTCACAGCCATATAAGAGAACGGAACGAACTGCTGCGCAGTACACCCGCCCTTTGGTTAGCGAACGGATATCACGCCTACGCCATAAGTGACGCAGGTTGGCAAAAGCCAATCGAGCTTTCTGTATCCGAGCTGAGATTTCGTCAGTCACCAGACCGTCAGCACTGATGAAACTCCCCAGATAAGTGAAGTGATCTACACGCTCGACTACTTCACTCCCTATCACTAGTTCAGGTGCCGAAGCAACCCAGTCTTGAAGCAACATTTTGCATTTCGAGGGGGAAAACCGCATCCCGAACATGCTCGCATTGTTGCTTAGGGTAGTCAGAAGACTCTGCATTTTGTCAGCGTCTTCACCGAATAGAACTATGTCACGGCGTATTCTAGATCAGTAAGCGACTTTCCTGGTAGAAGGTCAACCCCTGAAAAATCTGACGAGCTTAATGTTAACTCTAGGAGGATGTCTACGACAAAGTTGAACAAGAATGGAGAGAGTGGGCAGCCCTGACGGACACCACTTGATGTAGAGAATTCAGATGACAGTTCGCCATATGCTCTCACCCGACCAGTGGTGTTCGAGTAGAGTGCTTGTATAAGGTTAATGTACTTCTTTGGTACACCTTTCAATGACAGACACTGCCACAGAACCTCACAATCCACTGAGTCGAATGCCGCCTTAAGGTCCAGGAACACGACTATTGTCGGACGTCTAAATGTGTGTCTGTGTTCCAGGACCTGTCGTAGTGTGAAGATGTGGTCTATACAACCACGTCCAGGTCGAAAACCAGACTGGTTTTCTCGAGTCTGCTCTTCGCGAGCTCTAGTTAGACGTCTAAGTATAATCGAGGCTAACAATTTAGAAACTATATTAGTTAAACTTATTCCCCTGTGATTGTCACAAGAGGACTTCTGTCCTTTCTTGTAGATTGGGACAATTAGCGACTGAGACCAGTCAGATGGGATTGCGTCCATTTCCCAGATTCTACCTAGGATCTCGGTCAGTTTAACCGTTAAAACTGGACCACCATCCTTAAACATCTCAGGGGTAAGCCTATCGGGACCTGCCGCTCTACCTCTCCTTAGATTTCCTATAGCTTTCTCAACTTCATGTAAACTGGGAGGACTTAAATCGATTTGCCATTCAGGATGACTGGAGATCGTGGGCAACGGAAGAGTGGCTGAAGGCCAGTTGAACTGATCCCTAAAGTGTTCTGTCCATCGGTCCAGCCTCCTAGATTGAGAATGGATAATAAGACCATCCTATTCCGAGATAGTCTCGCTTACATTCGGGTTCCTAATACCGGTTTCTTTGATAAGGCGGAAAAGTTGTCTAGTGTTGCCTATCGCCGCTGCCTTTTCCATCGCTTTTGCTTTCGCCACCCACCACTGTTCACGGTCGTTACGTAGGCTTTTTATAAGTCTGCGCCTAAGTTGAGTACGCTCTTCATTATGTTCAGAGCTAGGTGGGATGAGTTTTCGAGCTTCCATCAGTTCGGTGGATGCTACAGAGATCCATGGCTTCATCCTAGCCTCATGGTTAACCTTAGTAGCAGATATCACTGCTGTTTTCACAGCCTTTTTGATATCATTCCAACCTGCCTCCGTATGAGAATCGCTTACATGGTTGCTTAACTCTGTTTCTAGTTGTTCCTGAAATATATTCTTCGCCATATTATCATTAAGTAAAACCCTAAGAGGCTTCCTTACGGTGTCTTTCCTACGTCCAGCAAGCCTCAAACAAATACGTGCTCGCACTAGGGCATGATCTGAATCTAAACATGTGCCCCCCCGACCGAAGCTGCTACCTTGACGTGGTGGTCGGGCTTGCCTATCGTGATGACCCAACCGAGCTATACTGGCTGGAACATATGTTCCTGCAGGTCCTACCATGCCAGGCAGGTCGATTGGAGAACGATGAGACTAAAAGCAGCTACCCAAGGTCTGAGGGCGAAGTCGTACTGCTGACTGCAGAGGGGTGTGACAGCAGTAAGGTGTTTCCCTCGGACAACCAGCATCTGCAGCGATGCTGCCTTCTCACAAGGAAGGAAGGGTTAGAAAAGGTCGGCCCTAAAAATGTCACACTCCCCCTAACTCACGGATTTCCGTCTCCCTGGGTAAGGGTGCCCACTAAGGGCCTTTAAGAACGGAGCTAATCCTCAAAATACCTTTCATAAAAAGGCCGTGCGTGACCGGCCTCAAGCAGTTGTCCCTTGGACTCTGCGGTCACGCACCAACACTAATCCATCTTCCTTTTCAGGTCCCTCAAGAAACAACCTTCCACGGTGTGGGCAGCCGGGAAGTGACAACCGCCCTCATACCCGTACCAGCACGCGAGACCAAATTGGTCAAAATCAAATCCTTCCTACACCCCCTAATGTCTCTCTTATCTCTACGACTAACTCTACTCACACTCCCTTTTCTCACTGCACCGCTAATGCAGACGAAGTGAGATCACGAAACGTCGTTCCTGGTCTCTTGAAACCCCGTTCTAGACTACATATTGGAGCTTTTAATGTACGGACATTGTGTCAAATAGGGCAACAGGCATCATTAGCTAGGACTTTAGAATCTCGTGCCATCGATGTATGCTGCGTCTCGGAAACGCGCATACAGGATCCTAGTAAAGTCATTAACCTGATTTCACCTTGTCAAAACGTAGAAGCAGCTCGATTTACTCTTCGTGTATCCGGTAGCCCTGATGCTGCTTCCAGGGGTCTTGCTGGGGTAGGCATAGCGTTGAGTCCTAGGGCAGAATTATCTCTCCTAGACTGGATCCCAGTAGATAGTCGTTTGTGCGCTGTCCGACTAAACGGGACAGTAAGGACTCGTAAGGATAGGGACACTCGCCGTTGCCTCTTCGTCATATCTGCCTATGCCCCCACTGACTGCAGTGCAGACGAGGTTAAAGATGAGTTTTACAGAAAGCTTTCGGACCTCCTCCAAAAAGCTAGGCGCTCTGATATAGTAATAATGGCTGGTGACTTTAATGCTCAAGTAGGTAGACTAGGTGAAAAGGAAAGACATCTTGGTGGATGTTATGGTGTAGCGACTGAGAGAACAGACAATGGAGACCGTCTGTTGCAACTATGCTCAGATAACCGCCTATTCTTAGCGAACACCAACTTTAGGCATAAGGAAAAGCATCTGCTGACCTGGCGACCTCCAAAGTCGTCTCAACGTTGGACTCAACTAGATCACATCGCCATCAGTCACCGATGGAGGGGTTCGATAGAGGACTGTCGCTCGTTCTGGGGCACATGTTTGGATTCAGATCATGCTCTAGTGCGAGCTCGTATCTGTTTAAGGCTTACTGGGCGTAGGAAAGACACCGTAAGAAAGCCTCTCAGGGTTTTACTTAATGATAATCAAACCAAGAAAATATTTCAGGAGGAACTAGGAAGAGAGTTATGCAACGATGTAAGTGATTCCCATCCAGAAGCAGGTTGGTATGATATCAAAAAGGCTGTGGAAACAGCAGTGATATCTGCTAGTAAGGTAAACCATAAGGCTAGGATGAAGCCGTGGATATCAGTCGCATCCACCGAACTGATGGATGCTCGAAAACGCATCCCACCTGACTCTGAGCATGATGAAGAGCGTAGTCAGCTTAGGCGCAGACTTATAAAAAGTCTGCGTAACGACCGCGAACAGTGGTGGGTGGCGAAAGCAAAAGCGATGGAAAAGGCTGCGGCGATCGGCAACAGTAGACAACTTTTCCGCCTTGTTAAAGAAACTGGTATTAAGAACCCGAATGTGAGTGAGACTATCTCGGAAAAGGATGGTCTTATTATCCATTCTCAATCCAGGAGACTGGATCGATGGGCAGAACACTTTAGGGATCAGTTCAACTGGCCACGAGCCACTCTTCGGTTACCCACGATCTCCAGTCATCCTGAATGGCAAATCGACCTAAGTCCCCCTAGTCTTGATGACGTTGAGAAAGCGTTAGGAAATCTGAAACGAGGACGAGCTGCAGGTCCTGATAGACTGACCCCTGAGATATTTAAGGATGGTGGTCCAGTTTTAGCAGCTAGGTTGACTGAGATCTTAGGTAGAATCTGGGAACTGGACGTAATCCCATCCGACTGGTCTCAATCACTGATTGTCCCAATCTATAAGAAAGGACAAAAGTCTTCTTGTGACAATCACAGAGGTATAAGTCTAACTAATATAGTATCTAAAATACTGGCCTCAATAATACTTCGACGCTTAACGAAAGCTCGTGAAGAGCAGACTCGAGAAAACCAATCTGGTTTTCGACCTGGACGTGGTTGTATAGACCACGTCTTCACACTCAGACAGGTCCTGGAACATAGACACACATTTAGGCGTCCTACAATAGTTGTTTTCCTAGACCTTAAGGCGGCATTTGACTCAGTGGATCGTAAGGTTCTGTGGCAGTGTCTGTCATTGAAAGGTGTACCACAGAAGTACATTAACCTTATACAAGCTCTTTACTCGAACACCACTGGTCGAGTGAGGGCTTATGGCGAACTGTCAACGGAATTCTCTACATCAAGTGGTGTCCGTCAGGGATGTCCACTTTCTCCATTCTTGTTTAATTTTATCATAGACATGCTCCTAGACATAACATTATCCTCGTCTGAATTTTCAGGAGTAGAACTTCTACCAGGTGGCTCGCTGATTGACTTAGAATATGCCGATGACATAGTCCTACTTGGTGAAGACGCTGACAAAATGCAGAGTCTTCTGACTACCCTAAGCATCAATGCAAGCATGTTCGGGTTGCGATTTTCCCCCTCGAAATGCAAAATGTTGCTTCAAGACTGGGTGTCATCGGCACCTGAACTAATGATAGGGAGTGAAGTAGTCGAACGTGTAGACCGCTTCACTTATCTTGGGAGTCTCATCAGTGCCGATGGCCTGGTGACTGACGAAATCTCAGCACGGATACAGAAGGCTCGATTGGCTTTTGCCAACCTGCGTCACTTATGGCGTAGGCGAGATATCCGTTTGCTGACTAAAGGACGAGTGTACTGCGCAGTAGTTCGCTCCGTCTTACTTTATGGCTGTGAAGCATGGCCAGTGAGAGTAGAAGATATTCGTAGGTTAATGGTTTTCGATCATAGGTGCCTTCGAAGCATTGCTCGTATATCGTGGGACACCCGAGTGAGCAACGCTGTTATTAGGAATCGGGTGCTAGGTAAGAATGGCAGATCAATAGATGAAGTATTGAAACTTCACCAGTTGAGGTGGTTGGGACATGTGTTGCGTATGCCCAACCACCGGCTGCCTCGTCGAGCCTTGTTTTGTAGTGTTGGAATAGGTTGGAAGAAAGTTAGAGGCGGCCAAACCAAAACATGGCAGAAATCCATGAAGTCATTGACTAGTGGACTGAGCCATGTTGGTAATTGTCGACTACCTGGTTGGGGTCCACGAGATGATAATAATCGATGGTTAGAGACCTTGAATGACATGGCTCAAAATCGTTCGCAATGGCGCCGGTGCATTTATTCTCTGTGTTCTCTCAAATGCTAATCTTTTGGATTCTTCAACACCTCTAGTTTCGACTCTCTAAACTTATCTCATTGAATCGTACTTCTTGAATAATATCTTCTAATCCTAACCTCTCCGATTATTTCTAATTCCCTTAGTACCTCTTCTACTATTGGATTTGAATTGACGATTACTTCTCTGTGCTGATGTGGTATGGCAACATGAACTGATGTACTTATGTACAAAGTTCTACGTTGCATCTGACTGACTGACTGAAACATGTGCCCCAGAACGAGCGACAGTCCTCTATCGAACCCCTCCATCGGTGGCTGATGGCGATATGATCTAGTTGTGTCCAACGTTGAGACGACTTCGGGGATCGCCAGGTCAAAAGGTGTTTTTCCTTATGCTTAAAATTAGTGTTTGCTAGAAATAGTTGGTTATCTGAGCACAGTTGCAACAGACGGTCGCCATTGTCTGTTCTTTGAGCCGCGAGACCGTAACATCCACCTAGGTGTCTTTCATTTTCACTTAGTCTACCTACTTGTGCATTGAAGTCACCAGCCATTATAACTATATCAGAGCGCTTAACTTTTTGGAGGAGGTCCGAAAGCTTTCTGTAAAACTCATCTTTTACATCATCTGCACTGCAGTCAGTGGGGGCGTAGGCTGATATAACGAAGAGGCAACGGCGAGTGTCCCTATCTTTCCGAGTCATTACTGTCCGGTTTAGTCGGACGGCGCACAAGCGACTATCTACAGGGATCCAGTCAAGGAGAGATTGTTCTGCCCTACGACTCAATGCTATACCTACACCGGCGAGGCCCCTAGAAGCAGCATCAGGGCTACCGGATACACGAAGGGTAAATCGAGCTGCTTCTTTATCTTGACATGGTGAGGTCAAATGAGTGATGCTACTCGGATCCTGTATACGCGTTTCCGAGACGCAGCACACATCGATGGAACGAGATTCTAAAGTCCTAGCTAATGACGCCTGTTGCCCTATTTGACACAATGTCCGTACATTAAAAGCTCCAACATGTAGTTTGGAACGGGGTTTAAGGAGACCAGGAACGACGTTTCGCAAACTCGCATCGTTTGCATTAGCTGTGCACTGTAATAAATGAATGTGAGAAGAGTTAGTTGTGGAGATAAGAGAGGTATTAGGGAATGTAGGAAGGATTTGATTTTGAACAATTTTGTCTCGTGTGCTGTTGCGGGTATGAGGGCGGTTATCACTTCCCGGCTGCCCACACCGTGGAAGTCTACGTCATTAATCATCATTTAATATAATACCGATTTATTTTTAACATAATATATGCAGCAAGAGATTAGAACTGTACCACAAATAGTAGAATAAGGATTTTTGGAAGTAATAAATTGTCGGAAGTTGTGTGACCAATAAATAAGTAAATTAGGAAGAGTTTATTAGAAGGCCAACTTGAATTGAAGAATTATGACTGAGATAACTCGTCCGATTTTTTAATGAAGTAATAGTAAACTGAAGGAGATTTGGCCATGTCTTCCATTTTGAACGATGTTTAGTGACGTTTTGTGCCACTGAGCAAGATAATATTTGTGACACTAGCCTCTAGTATTCGTGATGCATCGATAGATCCTATTTCTATGAAGCTTATACCCAAATATCTGGTAAAGGAGTTGTTACTTTATTTGTCTATTCTTTTGACGTACGTACCCAAGTCCCTAAGTTATAGTTGTCTGACTGACTATCATTTTGGGCGTTATGCATCTAACGCAGTCAGAAATTAATGAAATCATTAAACTGATAATACACGATGTCCAAGCTAAATAGTTTAGTGTTTTTAGATGATGAGACTAATTGAAATATTATCACGAAACGTGAACATTGATTTCCGTTCTTCAGTGATACTTACCTCCTGTTGCCACTGGACATAAATAATTCTTGGGGAAATATGCCAGTCAAACAGAGAGCTCGGCTTGGTTGGTTGTGTAGAGGAGATAGAAAAGGACTACTCTTAAAGATACATGAACCAAACTGACGTGGTGACAGCGCTCAAAAAGTCCAGAGTGACTCAGGCTTTTCTGGCCTTCACAATGTGTAGGATATTTTAGACACACAACTTGTCTGATCAATACAGCCTGTCTTGTATATTGAACATATTTTAAATTTAGTGTAGATAGTAAAGACTCAGAAACATCTAATCTCTATCAACACCTAAGTATAGAAATCAGACAAAAATGTAAGTAGATTATTTGAGCAAACTATTAGCGGATAGTCTCCATGATTCTGAAAAACTGTGTTTACGTCCACTTAGATTCCTACTGTTCATTTTTTTAAAATTATATTGTATTTCTATGAAATTATTCATTACAATACTATGTATTTTGTTGTAGCCTAGACCTTGGTTAGTTGACGATTATGATAAATGGATTGATCGAATCCAACTATCTGGATCGCCTTATCGCTGTATTTTAATTTTTTGTGACAATAGTGGTGCAGATATTATACTTGGTGTATTACCATTCGCTATGGAATTTCTTAATCGTGGTTGTAAAGTAATAATGGCAGCTAATTCAAGTAAACAGGCATTATTAAATTAATAGATTTTGAGTTATAATGTTGTTGAATTACACTTGATCCTTTCAATAATCCCCAAATGTCCTTAACTTTTAATAATAAACCGTAATAAAAATTGCATACATTGTCAGTTATTACATAATTTAGGTATCTACCTCCACTATACCTTATTTAACATGCCTCCTTTTGCCACACAACTGTCCTATGGTAAAAAGGACTGGTATCAAGCGATCATAATCAACACTTGTCAGCTTATATCCATTGTTTCCACTTTTTCGCCCTTTTTGAAGTGATATATTAGATTGGAGCATATGCAGCATGGTCAGACTGAAAAACAATGATTATAAGCCAATACAGAGTTCATTAAATATTCACAACAGAAAGTGTAATGAAATTCAATGGCCGAAATACAAACGCTAATCGTAAATTGGTGATTCAGTGATTGGGATGTTTAATTCTCAGCTACTGAATCACAGGTTCTAATAGTGCTCACCACTACTCGGGCAACCAGTTAGTAGCATTTTTCCCTATATTTAGTGTATAACTCAGTCATTGTCAAGTATACAAGTCTGTAACTTGTACTTCTCTTCGAGTAAACATAGAATCTCACTTTTATTTAGAGACATTTCATAAAATCTTTAATGATATTATCTCAAGTATACTTTTTATCAAATGACTTTTTTCTCGTTGAGATGCATATTACAAAGTTTTATTGTTTATTTGTATATTTTCTCCTTGTTTAGGTCCTTCTATCAATGATATAACTTATCAAGAATTGGAACTACTTTTGCATATAATAGCATCTTTTGAACCTTTAATAGCTGAATCTCTTAATAATGGACAACTGATGTTAGCTGAAAATGGTCAAACTTCACCTTGTTTAGATTTTCGTTTAATTGCTAGCTCATTGGTTCAACTAACAGAACGTGAACAGGTGAAATTTTGTTCTATATGTTTATAAATTGATATGTATGTAATCAAGGCAATAATATTATTAGTTCTGTCAATATTACCTTTTCAGAATAGCTTTCATCGTAAGTTTTAACCACTTGATAAAACCTTGGAAACTAGACAAAAAAAAATCGGATATTGATTCTAAACTAGTTTAAGGCTAGTCAGCTTTGAAAATTCCAGAAGTTATATAAATGAGTACTAAGCGCCAAGAAAGCTCCTACTGTAAAAAATCAGACTAATTACAAATTGTTTTAGTGTTTTGAAAATATGTTTGTTGATACAGTTCCATATTTATCTCTCTGTAGTTTTTTTCTCCCTGTCTGTCTATCCTCTCTCTGTTATATGTTCCGTGTTGTGAACATTGTGAAAATGTACATTGTACTTGTATTTGTTGCATAATCGACAGTTTCAATCTGACAACGATAATTCCATAGTTGTGATATTTCTATTTACTTTATTCAGTCAGTTAAAGTCGATGTTGTCTGCCGTTAGAGGTATGACGGTGGTTGTGACTTCCTAGCTGCCCAGTGTGAAAATTTGTGGGGTAAGGTGAGCTGTAACATTTCTAGGTTCTACGATTTCCAACCCATTGCTTTCGTGTTGAGAAGTTTGTATCACCGTCGATGCCGGTTTGTACAAGAAAGAACCTTAATAATATTACATTCCTCTACAATTAGCACTTGGACCTTAAGCTGCTGATTTTAGTGCTACTGTACTCCTACCTGTCTGTCCTGGTAGAACTGAGAGGAACATACGTCACAGACGATATAGCTCAGTGGGATCATTTTGATAGGGAAACCTGACCACCACGCGATGGTAGCATCTACGGTCGGGCAAAATTCATTGGATCTGACATGGACAAAGAGGTAGATCCAGTAATAGTTTTTGGAATAATGTATAATGATATTACATAAAATTTATCACAAAACGTATTCAAAGTAGTTTACAATAAGGCGACATGATAACGTGCAAATACATACATACACACGAAGAAACTGTAAGGTAAGTAATTAACAGGTTTTTGATCTTAAGTTTGGAAAGTTTGATGATGCATAAATCAATTGAATTGACTGACAACTTTTATCATTTAACTGATTATCGTAATCAAATTGTGTTGCACAAAAATTACTAAATTATATTAAATAATGTATTGTTGATGATTGTATTTTAAGAAGTTTACTTTGGTTATTTCTATAATTTTTAGTGTATAAATGTTGAGCTTTTCTTTTAATAATAACATTGAGGGCTAATATATCTTTTATGAGATTCTGTTTTTATCGGTAATTACATTGTAGTTCATTTACTTAACTAAAGACGCGGACACATAACGATTACATCAGTTTGTCAGTCAGAGTCAGCAACAACGTAGAACTTAGTATGTATGTACATCACTTCAAGTTCCCATACCATATTAGCAAGGAGATAGAATTGTCAATTCAAATTCCAGTGGTAGAGGTAGTAGAAGATGTTATTCAAAGAGTACAATCCAGTAAAATAAATTCGAGAACAGAAAGATGAAGGTCATGAGGAATTCAGATTAAAATGAGAGAACATAAAGAGTGGATGCACCTGTGTCATTTCAAACGATTTTGAGCCATGTCATTCAGGGTCTCTAACCATCGATTACTATCATCTTGCGGACCCCAACCAGGTAGTCTACATCTACCGAAATGGTTCAGTCTACTCGTCAATGACTTCACGGATTCCTGCCATGTTTTGGTTTGGCCGTCCCTACCTTTCTTCCAACCTATTCCTACACCATAAAACATAGCTAGTCGAGGCAGCCGATGGTTTTTCATATCACATGTAACACATGTCCGAATCACCTCAACTGATGAAATTTCAATACTTCATCAATTTATATGTCATTCTTATCTTGTTATCGTTTCCTAACAGCGGCATTGCTTTCTCAGTGGTCCCACGATACTCAAGCAATGTTTCGAATACACTTATGATTAAATACCTATATTCTAGGAATATCCTCTACTCTTACCTGTTATGTTTCACACCCATACAGAAGGACGGGGCGAACTACTGTAAATGACACTCATACTTTGGTTGGTAGGCAGAAATCTCGCCCACGCCATAGGTGACACAAGTTTGCAAAAGCCATTCGAACCTTGTGTATCCGTGCTGGGATTTCGTCAGTCACCACGGCATCAGCACTGATGAGACCCCCAAGATAAGTGAAGCCGTCAACACACTCAAATACTTCACTCCGTAACACTATTTCAGGCGCTAATGCAAGCCAATTCTGAAGCAGCATTTTACATTTCGATGTGGAGGACCGCATCCCGAACATGCTTGCATTGTTGCTCATGGTGTTCAGAAGACTCTGCATTTCATCAGCGTCTTCAAGTAGTACGTCATTGGCATATTCCTAGTCAACCAGTGAATCTCCTGATAGAAGGTCTACTCCTGAAAATTCAGACGAAGATAATGTGAACTCTAAAAGGAACCTCAACAACAAGGTTAGACAAGAATGGACAACCTTTACAAACACCACTTGAAGTAATCAGTTCCTATGACAGTTCGCCACAATCTCTGATGTAGCCAGTGATGTTTGAGTAGAGAGCCTGTATAAGATTAATGTACTTCTCTGGTACTCCTTTCAATGACACACTACCATAGAACTTCGCGGTCGACAGAGTCAAATACCGCTTTAAGATTGTGAAGTAATATTGTGGCACGTCTGGTCGTCTGTGTGTGTTCTAGCGTGAAAATGTGGTTTATACAGCCACATCCAGGTCAAAAAACAGCCTGGTTTTTTCTTGTCTGCTCTTCACGAGCCCTAGGCGTTGGAGTGTCATTGAAGACAGTATTTTAGCTACTATATTATTCAAACTGATTCATCTGTGATTTTCGTAGGAGGACCGCTATCCTTTCTTATAGACTGGGACAGTCATTGATTGAGACAAGATGAACAAGATTACGTCCAGTTCCCAGATTCTACTTAAGATCTTAGTCAATCTAACTGATAAAGCGAGCACCATCTCTCAAAATCTCAGAGATAAGCCTATCAGGACCTGCTGATCTCTCTCGCCTTAGATTTCTTATTGCCTTTCCAAGTTCAATAAATGTCGGAGGACTGACACTTGAAGTGTTTTGCCTATTGATTCAGTCTTTCGGATTGCGAATGAACCGTAGTTTCATCGTTTTCCGAGATAGTTTGACCAAAAGTTGGATTCCTAGTACGTTTTCTTTGATAAGTCGGAACAGTTGTCTACTGTAGATCTGGTACTTGATTTTGAATCATCCGAAATCTGAATCTAAACTTTCCTTCATTTTAGTTTGTATATTTTTTCAGTATCTTGTGCCATCAAATGAAAGTTTTAGCCGCGGGCTTAATGCACTAGGCCTCAATTCGTCATCGATCTACTGAATCAATCTTTTAAAAGAATTTCAATCTTTTTGAAAATTATATTAGATATTTTTTGTGTGATCATTTACTTTTACTACACTGATCAACAATTAGTCTTTTTGTAACAGTTTATTTAACGGTTTAATTTAGTGAATCGGTTTCATGAATAGTTATTGTTTGGCCAAATTAAATTATTGCATATCATCTGCCGATCGGGATTTTATTAATTAATGCGCCAACTGGAATCGTACTCATCACCATTAGCATCGAATCCTATGATGCTACTTCACATTTGTTTATTTTGTCGTGTTCATTCTTTGCCTATTTAGCATATGTGATACATTACAGAACGTCTCTTTATTATCTTCATATGGAATCGTAACTCGAGACCGTGAAACCTTACAATGTTTATTAAAAATAACTATATTTTCAATGTTTATTTTCTAGGTTGATTTGATTGTCATTGAAGGTATGGGGCGAGCGATTCATTGTAATTTAAATGCAAAATTCACTGTGGATACACTCAAAGTAGCTGTGATTAAAAATTCTTGGCTTGCTCGAAGATTGGGTGGTCAATTATATAGTGTGATATTTAAATTTGAAACGGTTTCGCAGCCCAGTTCCTAATCCGCTGATTATGAAAACTGTTGTTTATCAAGAAAGTTTCTTATTTTAATTAAGAAACAACATAGTTTTAAAGATTTAGTTAGCACTGGTATTGTTTCTTTTGTTTGTTTGTTTAATTTTTACCCTTTGTTACAACAATTCATACCATTCGACTCTGCTTACCGTCGTTGGTTGTTACTTCCGGAACATTCCTCTACAAATATAGAACGGACTGACTGAATGTTTTTGCGAATCACAATCGAAGAACACACTAGTTGCTTTTTATTTATTTTATGGTTATTAATTTCTACCTAATAATAACATGATTACATGGAAACTTTTCAAATCAGTCAAATCTTCACTGTAGGATTATTTGATTTCTTTGTAATGAGTTTTATTAAGAATAATCATGTAGGTATTGATAATATGCTTCCTGTCGTCATCGTCATCATTCTCGGTACTGTCATCACCGTCATGCTCTACCGTATGGCTGATTATTTTTCTCTTTCTATTAGACATTCTTTGGATTTTGTAGATTATCTATCTTTTGTTGATCGTTATTCGAATAGAATTATGATTGAGATATTTTTGTTGACATGAAAAATTCCTCACTAAAATTCATTATCCAATGTGATTTCAAGTGTTTCAACTGTCTAGTCTCTTCATTATCTTTTTTAAACAGAAGTAGCTTTTCTACATACGATACTCCTCATTACACATTCATTTAATTTTTTTAAAAATTAAATTGTTCTCATCTAGTCTTATTATTGGATCATATGACAAGATTTAGTTTGTTTATTTACTGAATTTGAATGTAAATGTCGATTTGGTTGTGCTCTATCTTTCTGTGTATCAACTGACTTATTTCCAATCAATCTTTTTTTATTGAAGGAAAAAATGATACAATTTACACTTATTATTATTTTTTTATATTATAAATTATTCATCACACTCAGTAATTATTTTGTAAAAAAATAATATATTAGTGTTTAAAAGATATTTAATTCGCTAGCATTTGTAAAATATTAAATAACTAATTAAAGTTCTTGATTTCAAAGACACTTTGGACAATGGATTTTGAAATCACCTACAGGGAAACTCAACTAATGATCCAGACTACACTAAGTTACATTTATTAGATTCAGTGTGTTAAATCATAGAAAGTAGCGCTACAACACAGGTATGTAGTGGTTTTGAAAGAAAGATATTTTGGTGTTTTCTAAGTGTTAATTTTTGTTTTAGTTGTAATGATTTTGAAGTAGATAAGTATTTGCCTAGATGAACATCGTCAATTAGATTTTCACGTAATTTATTAGAGATATGTTAGTGTATTGATCGCCAAGTTCCCAATAAGATAAATTGGAAATCGAACTGGAAGTTTGTAATGTAATTTATACCTTACAGGATGTGATAATACTATAAGAATAATAATACAGTTAAAACCGACCTGTAACATTTCGGGTCTTCCAATATTATTATTCCATAACAATTTCGTCTATGGTATAAAACTCCTCTACTTTTCGCTGTAACGTGACCACTTAATAAGTCAATCGGTTTCCGTTCGATTTTAAATTGGAGAAAATACTATAGCTGTTATGAGGCTCGACGGGTTCCTACGATACACTGGCAATAAGCATTGCGAAAAATAACTTTCTAAGTCTTTATAGATAAACGCAAATGTGCGAAACCGTTTGAGAATAAAATCCGTCAAAATCGCATCTATTCTGATTGTCACTCTGCTAAACGTCTGACAATGAATCGTATCGATTAGGTAAAGTACAGCTCACTTGAAGCGGTACGTAATAATACAATAAGAGGATGATGATGATGAATGTGTTACATTCGAAGAATGTACCTATATCACTGCAAAGGAATGATTTGGAGGTGTGATTTAGGCCTGTATAAAGTTTAGAACAGACGAAATCAATGATCCACTCTTGGACTATTTACTCACATTCCGAATGCGAACATTGTCACTCGGTCCAAACGTTGGCGACACTACGAAAATTGATGAATGTCACACAAAAACGAAATTTAATGACCTTTCCGTACAAAAATCTGTCAAAATTCCAACTTCTAAAAATAGTTTTAAGCGATTCAATCTAACAGTTATGAATTGCCACTATAAATACATTAATACGAAAAATGCAACGAAGCAGCACTTATCAAACGAACACAAATCTCAATTAAACCTGACTTGCTTTTGTAGAAGAATTTCATTTCACCACTTACTCTTCCATGGTCTTAGCGTAGATCCTAGTCCTACAAATCGTAGACCTTCACTTTCTTCTTTAATCCTTGTAGTTGTCTTTTTTATTGTTTCTTAATACCTCAGGAAAGTTGATTATTGACTGGTAACTTAGTAGTGACCTATGTCGTGTATGGCAAGTTACTAGTGCTGATTGAGTTCTATCAATCTAGTTTCCATGTGACTGCTAGTCCCTTCAGCTAACATGCCAATTTGCTCATGACCTCCAGAAAACACAAAACCTAGAGCTAAGGGGTGCAACATCCATTGTATTCAGAAATTTAAAAAAAAACTTAACTCACTTTAATTAAACACTACATATTTTGTACTTTTACATTCTGTATCTGATTACTTTTACCTGTCCTTGATAATTTTGTGTAGTGGTCGTAAACGTATCTATCATCTTTTGTTTACTAAAAATAGGCCAATATTTATTCATGCTAAATAAAAATGAACTTATAGTTTGAATTCTTTTTCAGATATTTTTTTTATGGAAAGTATGATTTCATTTTTCATGATCAGCATTATTATACTTACATAAAAAATATTTATATTAATTTGTCAATAAGTTCATAATGTGTATGAATAAACACAATTACGTGGATATATGATACATTACGATTAGTGAAAACTTGAACAGTTCGTTTGAATCCGATATTTTTTAGGAAAAAAAACAGCGTCGATTATATGATAGATATACTAGTCATAATAATAGCAATGTGATATAACTGTGACGAAGAAATATAGAGAGATAACAAATTTGGTTATATAAGTAAATGTTTAAAATAGCAAATTCGTATTATATCCTTTTAAGAAATAACGAAATGAATTGATTAGAGTAGTTTGATAAAATGACTGTCTTATTTTATGAATATTTTTATGTTATTGATTTAGTTCACTGTTTTCTAGTGTTTTCCATCGTTTAAATATCTCTTGAGCATAGGAATCGGTACGTTGACCCAAAATACCCAATGCACCATATTCTAGAAATGAAAATGTATCATGGAAAGAAAAGTGTTTTTGAATAATACTTAACAAATCGATTGAAAATGATAGACAATAAGCATGAGCTACAATTTTCCATTGTTATAACTCTGGTTTAATGAGAACTCTTAAAACCACTAAACTTTATCAATTAATGTTAACTCATGTTTGTAGTTGACTGAGTGTTCATTTATTATAGTCAACTAAGAAATATTCTTTTACAGTCAAATTTATTAACAACTATTGTGGTGGTGTTTCGTTCTCTGAGCTGGATATTTTGGTTGTGAAGCTTTCATTGTTATACTTCTGAACAACATTGTCAGCATAAACTTCAGATCGAAGTGAAGTGTTAGAATTTCTTTCACGTTTCACCTGTAGCTTGTTCTGCCAACCTCGATGTTGATTGATTGTTGTTGACCTCAGTAACAACTAACCTATCCATTTGTATGTTAATGATCGACTGGTCAACTGATCAGAACAACACTTGACAATACAAGTCTAGTCTCTATTACTTACTCAGTTCATGTATTTAAGTTTAAACTAGTTAAATATGAAAAGAAACTAAAAACATACTATGATCCAGTTTAATCAGTCAGCATAAAATGATAGTGATTATGCGTTTATGATACAAGGTTAGATGGGCAGTAATAGCATATTATTTATGATTTACAAAAAGTTAACTTCAATTGACTGAATCAACAACACCGATTAAAATGTTTACAGTTTTGTTCCTATACGGATAGTCTGTGATTTCATGAGTTGGTACTTCAACTCCATTTAAAGCATAGGATACTGATGCTATAATGTTTCTAACTTCGATCAGGACCTTACTGTTTAAATATTCAAATCCATTGTCTTAAAAAAAGGATAGATATGTTTACTTACTTCTACTGATAGGTCTAATCAGCGGTAAGCATAATTGTAATTGCTTGTATTCATTGGTAGATTGAGTTTGTGTTCGAGAGTTTGAAAAAACTAGTTTCGAATTCTCTGGATTGATGTCTTTTTTGTTTGATGATTTATTTAATAATGAAGGTCGAATAAATACGCATCCTTCAAAATCGTTCGACATTATCAAATCATGATCCATGACAATGAAAGCTATACATGCTGATGGATGTTTCAATTCTTCTGGAGTAACAGAACTGCAAATACGAGAATATAATTCATTTATTTAAGTTACAAGTTAGCAAAAAAATAGATCGTTTCATCCCACACATGATGCTCGGTTTCCTCATTAAACGTATTTTATCAAGGGTTTTATATACAATGGGTGGGTAGCAGTGTAATACAAAAAGTACGTAGTTTGATTGCAGGTATTAGACTTATTCTTTCTTGAAATCATCGACATGCATGCCAATAACATGCGGAACCTAGAAAGACTTACTTAATAACAAGAAATCATTCAATAGGATTTTCTACAGGGAGATATCGAAAATTATTTCATGAAAATAAGAGTAACCGAAACTTTACAATGAAGGACCATAGTTAGTTAGTTGTTCTTCACTGTTTTCATGTTGTGATTTAGCCGTGAAAATGCTCAAACTTTAAAAAAAATTGTGATAACTAAAGCATTACAGTTTGTGTACGGTTAAATAGTTGAAATCTCTGTTCTGTAAATTTATACTTGATTGAATACGACAAATGTAATTGATAGATAACATTTTGTGACAATCAATCCTTCAAAAGTAACTAAGTGAATTGTAAACATAATTAATGTTAATTAAAAGTACATTTTTTTGTTGTACGATGTATACGTCAATGATTTTCATGATAGTTTGTATATTTTATGTACACAATGACAATTTAAAATGAAATAATACAGCTATAGAAAAATATTTAAATATAATGGACACTTTAACATATTTCACATTTACCATCTCATTTACTGGGTCACAACGATTTATAAAGCTGATAAAAATACACTTTCAGAACCAAATGACTTTTTGATTGATAAAAATAGTTACTACCAAGTCTTTTAACTCTAAAGCCACATTTATAAATAGTACCAAACGTTTCTCTAATGCTTCATAGTTTTAAAAAATAAATATTTTCATTTGTTTCATCTTACAAAATTTCCTTAATGCTATTAGGCTTTCGAAATTTGGATGTAGCTATGACAACAAAATGTACAGTTTGTTCTTTGTAAAAAGCTTCGAAATCTACTAATTTCTAAATGCATATATCAATTTTAGGGCTTATTTATCTTTATCTGAACATTTTTAATCGTTTTAAAGCTTTTTTTGTCACTATCAAACACTAACGACTTGCCTCAAAAACTGATCACTAATAAAGAGCAGAAAATATCTTAGCGGTTTTTAGTTGATAACAAACGACTACAAGGGAACACCAGACTTAAATGCGCTATTCCTTACATGTCACCATCTCTAATTGTAACTATAAAATCTGATTTTCCAGATTTAACTGCAGTAGATATACGATATTGCCTAATTCAATTCCTAGTTCTAACATCAACATATCAATAATAACAAGAGATTTCATTTGATGCTTAGTTACAAATTAATCAATCATATAGGATGATCGAAACGTAATTGTAATGAATGGTTGCTGGCATAATATCAAATCAAAAGGTAGTATTTGTTTTGTTTTCAGAAAATCAACAGCTTTTGTCAGTTATTTGCATGTACTTACAATTCAAAATGTTCATCAAACACAGGATCAATTGTATTTTTAACAATTCTTGTTCGTGATGATTTCGGAGTTTCCGAGAATATATGCTTAGGCAATAATTCCACAATTATGAATGGATCTGATAAACCTTTTAAAAATAAATGATGATTTAAAAATACAATCAAATATTTTCTAAAGAGTATTTATTGTTAGTTCAAAAAAGAATAAACTAACAAAAATGAAATATAAATAATGTCAGGCTTTATACATTTCAGAGATATTAGGGTGGAATAGTGGATGGAAATGCAATCCAATATGACATATTGCTTTCTATTATTATGGACATGTATGTTAGATATAATACCTACCTACATCTAAGACTATTGTTACTTATATTATAGCTTTCACTTCAAACAACATTGTATGTAATCCACTAAGTTACTGAGTCTAAACAGTAGCTAACGTTTACAAAATGATGTAAATTTTTACTGGAAATTACAATTCTTTACTATCGTCAATTAAAAAAAAATGCAAATATCATTCAATTACATTTTACATGAGTACATGAGAAGAACAAAAATGCTCAACTAAACTCCATTTCAGTTATTCAATGGACATAAGATAAATAAGGTGGTTGAAGATAAATTTTTGTAGAAATTTAGAAATTATACATAACAATTAATTTTTTTTAAATATTATCCCGTTTTAGTTCAACCAAGTATAGTTCAATAATTCAAACAATTGAGACAGCTAAAAATATTTATGAAGTAGATATATGAAATAATCTCAGAGATTGAAATTACGGACCGTTTCTACATTTCATCCAGCTATCTTATCTGGAATATATAACATTTAAAAATCGAATCAAGTTTATACTACTATTAAATGTTTATCCGATCATAGATGTTGACTTTAGTAACACAAGCTAAATGAGATGTGAAACATGTGAAAAATAACTAAATCTATGCTTATGGATGTGTAGATTTATGCTAATAATAGTTAGTGTTCAGTGAACGAATGTCTGTCACTTGTTCAATAAAACGAAAACACAAAAGTGCCTATGTAAATGTTTCTTAAAGTAGAATGTAAATGTAAAGTGAATTACCAAATACATGGTTGTGATGTATACAAAATATTTAAATTAATTACTGTTTCGATCAAAGTTACATATGAATTAAACAGAGTGGAATAGGAATGAGGATACAATTATTCGTGAATGGTCATTTACCATGATGAAGTAGCTAGCCGAATACCATCTTTTCTGTTTAGGCTGTTCTGATTAGCAGGTATATACATCGCTTCTGCTGTCAATCTTTCTTTATATGTTAGAAACACCACTAAAGTCGACTTTGTGTCCTGTTTATAACGCATGTAACGCGATAATTCCGACTTATTCTCGAATTTATTCTGATCAGCCGAGATCTTGGGAACATGTTGCAAACACTGTTAATGTTCCTTCAAACTTACACTCAAATGTCTAGATGTTTGGCGGACACAAACTTCATTGCAGTCCCGACAAGTGATCGCATAGACAACGTTCTGTCGTCCGTCCCTTAGAAGCCTATCTCTAATCTTTACCCACTCTGATTTTATGCTATTACTGGCACGAAAATGAACACTTATTTTATGTTTGTTTAAAATGAATTTGAAAAAGTCAATTAAATTTTAAATAGTTGAACTTACCATTTGAATCAAGCGGTACAAGATTTGTAGCTCGTTGTACATCTACATATAATGATGTTCGTTGATAACCGATCTTTACTGTTAATTTACCATATGAAGAAGAACTGGATAATTCCTAAAAGTATTCGGTGTATATGAGTTCCGACTTACTGATAATAAAGAGTAATTATTTTTTGTGGAATTATAGAATGATAACAATTTCGAGTTAACTTACCAATTATTTAAAAATTAATTAATTTCATCTGTAAGTCAATATCATATAAAGGAAAAATAGGAAAGGAGATAGTTGACTGAAACTTTTTATAAGTATAGCCCAGGAGTAGATTTTCAGGTCGTATCACTTGTATAATAACTCATGAAACAATAAGTCGGATTTCATGAATCCAAACTGTTAGCTTTGATAATTTCGTCCTACTATATACTAAACTTGAAATACTCATCTTCAAATACTCGTTACAAATAATTCAAGTTGACATAGGCAGGCGGTCTTTCAAAAAAATTTTAAATTTAACCCGACCATAGCTGCTACCTTGACGTGGTGGTCGGGCTTACCTATCGTGATGACCCAACCGAGCTATACTGGCTGGAACATATGTTACTGAAGGTTCTATCGTGCCAGACAGGTCGATTGCAAAACGATCAGACTGAAAGCAGCTAATCAAGGTCTGAGGGCGAAGTCGTACTGCTAAATGCAGAGGGGTGTGACAGCACTAAGGTGTTTCCCTCGGACAACCAGCATCTGCAGCAATGCTGCCTTCTCACAAGGAAGGAAGGGTTAGAAAAGGTCGGCCCTAAAAATGTCACACCTCACCCTGCCTAACGGATTTCCGTCTTCGGCGTTAAGGGCTGCCCAATAAGGGCTTTCAAGAGCGGAGTTAACACTCAAAAAATCTCTCATAAAAAGGCTGTGTGTGACCGGCCTCAAGCAGTTGTCACTTGGACTCTGCGGTCACGCTCCCGGGTCTTTAAGACCATCACTAATTTATCTATATTTTTCAGGTTCCTCAAGAAACAAATTTCCACGGTGTGGGCAGCCGAGAAGTGACAACCGCCCTCATACCCGTAACAGCACACGAGACCGAAGTGGTCAAAATCAAATCCTTCTTGCAACCCCTAATAATGTATATGCGGATTCTGGTGTTATACCTCTCATTAGGACTATCGTTTTTTCACAGAAAACTGGAGCGCAATCCATACTATTGGGAAAAGTGTTTTCAATTAAAAAAATAATAAAGTATTCAATTAAGTGAAAAGCGATCTACAGAATGGAAAAGCAAGAGTTGGGGATCTGTTATGAAAAATGGCTATAAGTACGATTGTACAGTACTAGGAAATGATATCGTTGAGAAATGTTTCTATTTGTCATGAAAATTCAGTGGGTTTCTACAAAAGTACTAATTAAGATTTTTATTAGCCATATGAATGTTCTTCACTTTTTGCTGCGAATTGCAGAAGAGATTTTCATAAAGAATGTTTCAAAGTAGTCAAACTTTGCTTTAATTTAAAAAACAGGTAGTCAATTGCTGCACTACGATAATAAAATAAGTTTCGTAATAAATAAACTTTCAGTATCTCAACTTTTTATCATCAATAAAAGCTGACTAAGTAAGCTCAGTTTGATTAGCCGATAAAATGTGAACCCATATCACGTAAATTATTTAAGAATTTCTAATCTTAAAATTCGTGATTGGATGTCTTCTGTTTGTTTGACCTCTGACCGTGTGATTGACCGAAGGAAGCTTTTCGTATCCGTTCACAGATTAGATCTGTGCAGTTGTGTTTATTGATTGTCAAATCAACTGAAAGTATCACATCTAGAAATAGGACGATATTTTGATGATTTACTGAAAGAAGAATTTTCACGTTTTCATAATTGATTATTTGTCCATTATGGTAGGAGTGCATTCGAATCAGTGTAAATATTATTCGTCAACATTGATAAAGATTTATAAGTAAAGACAAAACAGTTAGTTATCCAGTGGGTTTGTGTTTCTGTTGGTTCTCTAACCAACATTAGCCCATGATGAAAACTAACTCTACAAGAGGAACCCCACTAGTTTATCCCGGAAGAATCTAATTGTGTTGCTGTTTACCATTCTAGATTATGCCAGCTAACCTGTACGAACTCATCAGAAAGTCCCTTTGAAGACTAATTAGCGGGAAATAATAGTTTATAATCCACTTACCTGGAACTTTTCTTGTACGACTGAACTGTGAGTAGCATTACGTTTAAGACTAGCAACTATGATATCCTTGGTGCTACTTTTATATGTATGGGTGTCCATTTAAATGTTTACTCAACCTGGTAAGTATGTTATGGAATCACTGAATCTGGTGATAAGTGAGAATAACAAACTTGTAATAATATTCAATGTTAGAGTTTGTTACAAGTTTTCGGTCGAATTGACCAGCAAATAAATCATAGTTCAAAAGAATAGGGGTAATTATAGTTAATATGATGAAAAGGATAGGTTTTTGATAGAATGTGCAACACTTATGAGCAATAATGGCTTACTTGTTCATTAAGTTTTTCAATGAAATATTGTTCAACAACTTCTACTGTACTGCTGTTATATAACTGAATTAAATATTTCACATTCTGAAGAATCAACAAAAACAAATGAAAACAAATTATCTGCTGATAATTAGTGTTAACTTCTAAAGTCATGAGTACATTGAATCGTATATGTGTTTCGATAAGAGGAAACTAATATTCTTCTTCTTTACAATAAATTCAATCAAATAGATAAATATATGAGTTCAGAGAGATGTGTGTCGATCACACATAGTTCTAAACAAAGGAAGTTATTGGATGAAGAGCGCTTTTAGGAGGGCAAGGAGTTTTGCAATTTGAATCACGAATTGATCCTAAGTCGATCATATGCAAAAACCACCAGACAACTGTCTTATTTTATTACGGAACTACCTACTTAGCAGTGCATTTTCGTGACCCCATCATAGACAGTAGCATCTACGGCCTTCATTGAGTTATGTGAAACCCTATACTACTTAGCTGGCATTCAGTTATATGCACGTCCAACTTCAATAAATTTACTACAAAATACGACTATTTTTAGTTACTTGGTTAGTGGTTTGAGAATAAAGCGATCTCATGCTAGAGTGAAAGTCATGGGTTCGATGCACAAAGGTTGGGTAGTGAGCACGAACTGGTTGGAAGCTTTACAAAACTACTGTTCAGTGTTTACTGTTTTCAATTTCATCTAGCTAAGATTTGTCCGTGATTAATATTATGAAGATCCCACACTTCTCATCAACTTTTGACAGATGACCTTATTATGATACAGTTTAGTATACTTTAAAACGATTTAGCATAAACTTCAATAGTTCATACTTTTAACTGAGGTCATAATAATGTTATTTAACGACGATAAACACATACGAACATGACAACAAAAAACATTAAAACAACTTGAAATATTAATGTTTTGGATAAATGGAATATATATTTTTTTAATTGTTGTTTTTAACTAAAAACGACATAACGTAATTCAGATATTTACCAATTTACATTTCATTAGATTATTTTTTTAAGTCCATACATTGTGATAAGACTGCTTGAAATAATTCATGGCAATATGCTTGGTAAACCGACAAGCCTGCTGCACATGCACATCGCTGCTTTTTAGGCAACAGAAGGATTTTCACTGTCGCCAACAGTAAACACCCCTGCCCCAATTGGGAACGCACATGTTGTCCATTTTGGTCTGCAAACAGGTCGGACGTGCAAAACGCCCCCATTCGGGCACTTATGAATCAACAAGACCCCTCCACTAATCCACTACCCGAGATCCCCAATCGGCATGGGCGGTAAGGCGGGCTTACCCAGCTAGACCTGGCACCCTGAACGGATTACTGAGCCACCCAGCAGAGCACTTACCAGCAGCCGTTCCAACCGTCTGGCCTCCAACTGCCTTGCATTGATACAATCGACTGGAGCCCTCAGACCCCACATCCAGCTAAAGATCGCATCCGTCCCACAAGGTCAGCCGGAACGTACATACTCCCATGACGAAGATGTCATGGACTCGACCAAGTGCAAGCACTCGGCCAAGCAGGGTTAGACCCACAGCAGTGGGCAGACATCATTGGTGTCCAGTACCCTTTAGCACCTGATCACATTACCCAACTGGAGACCCTTGTTTAAGGGGCCTCGACGCCAGTTTACACAATACACCGAGATGCACAGTGTTCGGGACAACCACATAGGGTCGGCGTCAATAGTCCAGGATGTCTACGGCTGCTTCCCCAAACAGAACGTCCAGGGCCGCCTTCAATCATCCTGGAAAGCTACATCATTTTCAAGGTATTTGCTACTACGGAATGATAGATGACAAGTCCTCAAACCATTATCGGAATTTACCTACGCTCGATGGACGGGATTCGAACTTAGGGGCGTTCAGTCCTAATCCCCCAGAGTGGCCAACCACATCCACAGCCTTGCGACCATGAACACGTACCATCATTCTGGACCATGCTAGGCACGGTATCCTAAGCGTTCGGAATGGCTTTTAGTCGCAGAACTGTAAACAACGCCACGTTGCCTGGCAGGACCAAGAAGAGGTAACCTCCACCACAACACCCAGAAGGCTCCATTTATGCGCGTCACCCAACATACCCATTCAATTAGATGACGAGGCATTTGGCTACCTTAAGAGAGTCATAGTTACTCCCACTTGAAATAGTTCACGGCTTATGTACTAATATAAACTTAAATAAAGCACATAGATCTAAATTGAATAAAGCAAGAATAGTAATATTAGCAGAATACAATAGTTCATGGAAATTAATAACGATTTATGATTTCCATAATTTAGAATTAGAAAAATGAGTACAGTGATTGACTTGGAAAATTCAGAGGTAACTATTGACCTTATCGAAAACTAGTATACTAAAATGTCTTTAAGAGAATAATGCTAGCTTTTCAAAGTGACTTAGCAAAGTATCAGATGGATTATTTAGTAGACAGGCAACGATCGACTCTAATTCATCATCAAGATATATGTATAGCGACGAAAGCAATGTATCAGAAATTCGAATTTCCATCATTCCTTTGTACAGTTATTGACCTTTATCCATACACTACTGAAATTATTAGTCATAACCATGAAAACAGAAATTGTCGCAATTGTTAGTTGAAGCGCACTCATTCACGAATATAACATGACCACTTGCTAAATTATTCTATACAGTAGAGCATTTTCATTATCATTACCGTCAAGCAACATAGAGCCGCCTAATTCGTTTTCGCGTAGTTTTCAGTGAAGTACCTGATACCATCCTGTAGATATTAAATACTTGCTTTTTTCTCTCAATCAAAAGATATCAGATACAGTCTTTTTACAACATCAGATCGCCTAGAATAGTAACTAAATTTGAGATATAACCATTACTTTACGTGGATTATAATCAAATATAAAACAGGTATATGAAAAAGAAAAATCTTGTCTCAAGTGTTTCAGATGTTCACTTGATATAATACACTGTAATTGTTTGATGACATTTTAAAACTGAATATCGATAATCTGTAACCGTAACAACTTGCATTCAATCTAACATTTAGCCCTAAAGATGTATTCTAGGATTTCTCATAGACTTTATATGATATCATTCTTTCAAGAGCTTAAGTATAAAACAAACACAATTTAATATTATCTAATGAGTCAATAGTATTCAGTAGTAGGTTTTGAATGTTGGTCATCCTGATTATCATACTAAAAAATCCACTTTTTAAAGTTTCGAAGATAATCTAATAAGTTTTTTGATAAGTTGATCATATTTCGTTACATTTCACATGGTCAAAAATAATGTGTACGTTTTGCCAAATGTTTTAACTAGTCTGTTGTAAAATAGTTTGTTAGATAAGAAAACAGTGATTTGGTTGAAATGCATGGCGAGACAAAGTTTTCAGACTCTCAGATTCATTCCACTTTTTGTACTCTCTTCCATTTAACAACCGAGTTCTGGTCTTCGTGAAGAAATATGAGATAAAGATTTTGTATAAAATCTTGTGCTATCTAATAGAGATATACTAATATGACTTCTCAGAAGGTGATAATAATTTACCTCTGCTTTTGTTTACAAGAGCTTACATTTTTGAACCTGTTACACGAAGTGTAAACCAAAACTGAAAGTGAAAATTTAGGACTGATGAATGTTAACCATCATTGTACTGGTGCTGGAATCCTGTATGCTAATTGGGACAAGAAAATTTTCATTTATGAAATCAGTGACATGAAGTTTCAAAATAATATTACACATTATAATGTGCACAGTATTTCTTTAAACAAACGAACATGAGCGTCGAATGAATATCGGCTCGAAGTCTGTTGATCACACTACGTGTGTGTTCAGTTTAAACTAACAAGATTATGAATGACATTTATAAATGTAGTAGTTGTCATTTCACGATTAATTAATTGTTAACTTACATGATATTCTTCTGTTTCTAAATTTACTTTACTTATCTGATCGTCGCCATTTTTAAGGAAAAATTCAAGTAGTATATCTAAGGATTTTTTCAATCGTTCCAATATGTATTTAGCTCGAAAAATTTGATTTTTGTCTATCTCCATCGGTATATTAGGTATTAATTCATGCATTTCATGTGTAGACAATGGAATGATCGGTTGACTAGTATTATCTGTATCGAAATGGGACTTCATTTGTAAAAATGCACCAGGACCACCGACGTTTGTTGAATTAATTTCACCTTCTTTAATTGTCTGTTCCATATACTGTTCAAGACATTCATGCCATACTGATAGTATACAACGATGTAATAAATTACTAGACACATTGGTTTTTAATGTTTTGATATTTGAATCCAAATAAACGATTAAATCATGCATAGCCTACATGGAAAACGTATCAGTTATTCAAACAATGTAATTCGAAATATATATATATATATATATATTGCACATTTTACAACCATGAGAAGTTATTGCAATTAATTGGCGTTAGAATTGCTTAGCTTGTTATTAATCAAACAGGTTGTTGTCTTGTCTGAGCTAAACAACTTAATTATTTGGGTTTAAATTTTGTGCTGGACAAAACCGTCAAAGTTTACTGTACGTAGAGGTAGGCTTTCCAGTTATTTTACAGTCTTTCAACTTATCCGTTTAAGCTCATTTAAATTTGGCTGTGTTCATAAGTGACTTTTTATGTATGCGCTTCTTTGTTTTCCTCTTAACTAATTCGTTAGGTTAAACTACAACCCCTTCATCGACTGATTGTTACTAGATGAATTCATAAATTACAACTATCTTAACCTGCTTGTCGATTCCTCGTTATTTCAATCTTATAACTTGTCAAAACGAAATTCTACCATCTAAAATTAATGAATATCAGGGTAATTCAGAAGCCAACTGCTTGGTTTCACACTCAGAAACGCAGAAACTTATGGCCGAATTTCGTTCTCTAAGCTAGATGGTTTGGATGTGCAGCTTCGATTGTTATTCTGAACAACATCATCAATACAAACTTCAGGTAGAAGTAAGAAGTCCGAATTTCTCGTAATCTGCCCTACTGACCTCGATCTTGGCTGGTTGTTATCAACCTTATTTGTGTAGAAATTTAAACACCTCACTTCTGCCTGAACTTCGTGCTGATGATGTTGTTCATAAGAATAATGAAAACTTAACTTATTACATATTTCATCCTTATATTTCTCATTAGTCTATAAAGGTTAATTGTATTACTTAGTTATTGACGTCGGTAACTTTGATATTAAAGCTTTGAATTTATAGAAGAGCATTCATTTTCTGTAAGTTGACAGCATGTCTAGTAGACAAGATATTAAAAACGCAAACGGTCCTCTTAAAATTGATTACAGACTGTTTTCAGTCATTCACAAAATCTTATTTTGCGCGTTAACTGCATACTATTTAGAATAATCATCAAAACTTCAAACGAATCAATAAAAGATGGTTGATGCTAATACTAAGATCATTAATACACGATGACTGACTAGAGAACAGTATGCACATGTTTACAAATTAATAAATGCAAAGTATTTGGATATGCAAGGCCAATTACATATGATTTTTTTTCACTATCATTCATCTATCAATAAAATATGTTATAGACATTTTTGAAGTTACCCACTTTATCAACTGGCGTTGATCGTAGACTCCAACATAAATGAAAGACATTTTTTCTGATTTCTGGTCTCATCTTTAAAGGAAAGCAATAAATATAGAGCAATAAAAATATGTTTACTTCCTAAATAGAAGTGAATATATAACAGATACAAATTCACTTGAATTTGAAATAACATTATAGAAGTTACAGCAAATTAGAAAGGAAAGGTTGATACTTAAAGCCATGTACAGTTCATCTTAAATGAACTAAGCAGAAAACTGAGTTCAGGAGTTGATACATGCATTTTATAACCTTTTGAAGCTGAAAACATTAAACTACGTATTGGAGTAGTTCATATGTGAATTTCATACCATATAATCTTTTTTAAAGAAATACTCTCATTAAAATGTACAATGCAACTTTACTTTTCACACCGTTCAACACTGATAACCTTGTTATTAAACAGCTGTGATCAAGGTTAAAATGTAATTAGGAAAAAGATAGTCTAGATACAGTTGACCAAATACAACAAACTGTATCAGATAACACTAATATGCGATTGTTTTTAAACAAAGTAAAAACTTATCCATTGGAAAAACTTACTCATGACAATGTTAACTAACTTGTATTTTCATACTTACTTTAGCATTCATACGATATATTGTTCTGTTTAATACACGAATGAGTTCACAGTAGCTTTTATACTGAAGACACTTTAAAGTTTCTAAATGTTGATAGGGAATTTTAACTTCATGATGATCAGTAGATTTACTCTTTGCAATTAAAGTATCAGCAGCGTTGCTAATGTTGCCATCATTTTTGTATTCAGTAGGGTTAGTTTTGCTGATTATTGTGCTACAACTACTACCGGTGTTGTTAGTATTAGAAATATTGGAGAGGATATTTTTATTATCAGGTGGCCAAGGAGTTTGTATATTTAAAAATATCAGAATCCATTGAACAAATTTTGAAATCAATTCCAAATTGTTTAATCCAATAGAGAGCTGTATTGATATATGAAAATAAAATAAAAATGGCCAGTGATGAATACGTATGGAATTGATCATGCATGAACTTTAACGGTGTTATTACATGTCCTTCTTTGAAAAACAACTGGACATGATCTGCAGTTAGCATTATCATCACGAACTGTTGTTCAAACTATTCGAAATATATCACAGACACTTGAAAAGACATTTTAACTTTTTACTCGATAGAATAACACGACTATTTGTAGAGTAATAAAATTGAATTAATTAATAAAAGTTGATTATAAGATGAATGTTTGTTTGTTACAACGTGAAAAACTTAGTGAGTAGACAAAATCTTATAAATGAGTGAAAATAGACTGTTCAGAGACAGAAAAGTAATTCAATTATACAGTGACGATATATTCATTATGCTGCTAATTTCCCTAAGTTTAGCAAGATATATACTTCATACGCTGAAAATCCCAAAAATACTATCAGTTATATTAGATAATGAACAATAGTTATACAATTTTTTATCCAGTTTCTGTATATATAATATAGCGAATAACTACGTCTTGTGTGTGGCCTATGCTCTATTGGGGGTAATGGGCGTGAAAATGAACTATAACATTAGTAATTTACAGACCATGAAACATATTTGACGGTTTTTGTCGTTCTTCATCTCTATGCACTGCATTAATAATCAGAGAGGATTAAAGGAAAAAGATCTGCACAACAGTTTATGATAAAATAAAATATCACCGGGTTAAGGTATCATCTTTAAAAAAAAATAAGCAACAACTCACTGAGGTTGAAATGTCAAACTGCCCTTCTTCATCACAATATCCTTGCAGACGTAATTTTTCATGCAGCTGTTTTGCATAGGATACGGTAACTTCACACGCAATCTAAAGTATGTTTAACAAAGTGAATTTTAAATTGCTTACATTATCGGCAACACTAGTATAACTACTTATATACGTGTTAGTAGTCCAACTGTGAAAAATAATAATATGTATATATTTTCCTCAATAGGCAGACGCTTAGGACTTAGCATGTTATTTAACACAATTAGAATCAGGAACTTGCAAAATTGATAATAAATGTTATTTCTGTGAGAGCTTTGAGTTTCTTATCAGTTTTCTGCACACCAGTCTTATTCTTCAACGAGCACTGTTGCTGACATCAATAAAATATACGGAAGATGCAAATAACTATCATTAAACGGAGTCTACAATTATTTTAAAAACTAGTTACTTAAACAAGCACATCAGTCAAGTGCGCTTTGAAATTCAGTTCGATTGAATCATTCTTAAAAGAATAATCAATTTTAAATATATTTGCACTTAATTAAAGACCATCTACACAAAGAAAATCAGTTAGCTTAAATCAACATTTAAAATTTTGAAATATACCCACGTGCACACGGAATATGCAACAATGCTATCGAAAAGATTGAAATTATTATTATTATTATTATTATTATTATTATTATTATTATTTGAAATAATTATGCAAAAACCGATTTTTCTGCTTCAGTCTCTGTTTTCTAGTTGTTTGCATGCATATATTTTCGTGTATGTTTATTTATTTTAGTCTTACGTATGTAAAAAATGAGTTTTTGTATTATTCACTAGGGCCTCATGAATGCCAGTTATAATATTGTGCATGCTATTGACTTTTACTACGGATTCGATAACAAGATCTATTAAGTTTTGTAACAAAATGTTACCTTGTGGTGATCAAATTATACCATTTAAAAAATATTGCATCTTTCTATTACCTGAACAGATAATTATTGATAACTAGTAGTTAGTTAAATGAAATAATTACAATAGTTGCGTTTTTGCACACTTTGTTGAGAAACAGTATTCAAAGTATTCACTTAGTGAAATTTAATTTCTTCAATCTGATGTAAGTATTATGCAGGTTACAATTATAAGTCTATTGTACAACAAGTTATTTGAGTTTGATGCCCTTTTTACTTGGCTCGTTAACATAGCCATTACTTTAACAGATAAATACTTTATTGCAACCCAGATCAGCCTCGTCAAGAAGTTCGATGAGAGCATTAAGTCAGAATAGTCCATATCAGTAGACAGAAACATATTCTTAAGGAAATATACAACGCAATGGCAATAATACAAATCTCACATAATAATAACCGATCTATTAATGTTAGTAAGGCATCCCTATCACTGTTCCTGTCCATAAAATAACTCATTCAACAATCATTTCAAAGAAAAAGATTTCAATTAATTTCTTTTCTGTGAAAAGATTAAGCAGTTTATGATACTGTGAAATGCGCCCATTCCACTTCGTCTATCCACTGCAACATCGTGAAATTCACTAATCCATCTATTCTACTTTTTAAAAAAAAACTCTCATCATTCAATGTCAGCACTTATTTGAAACAAATTTTATGTAAATTTATTCATATCAATTAAAAAAGACACAATCAACTCATCCTACTTGAACAATTTCGATAATATAATTATACTTAGTTTGTTCATCTGGCCAATCGATCAACATCCATGTACACATGAATCTTGTCATATTATTTATGATGGATAAACTTGAAAATGAATACAAACCAAAATATGTTTCCTTGTTAATTTCATTTGGTAGAAAATTGATTAACGGTTCATTGGATGGAGTAAGCTAAAGTTTGTTTTACAAATGAAAAATTAAACAAAATTCAATTGTCAACCAAAATTTAATCATAATGTTATCGTGTTTTTTATTCATTATTTTTTTGAACAAGGAATAAAACATGGATAACATCACACCCGATGGACTTTCGGCAATCATGTATCATTGAATGTATGTCTTGTAATGACATTGAAACCAAGCATTTAAGCAAGAGAAAAATATCACTTCAGCGTTGTGATTAACTTAAGTTGTTTTTATGTTGAAAAAAAATGTGCACTTTCTAATTGTAAATAACATTATTCAAAGTGATACTCCATATTATGCTTGTTAATAACGAAAAATTCATCAGATTACTGTATAGAAAGCGAAAAATCATGCAAAAAAACAATTTTGATTTAGAAATCAAAAGTTAAATTACTAACGAACGCAAAACTTATTCAACAACATCATAGCGAATAGATAAAGAACAATAATTATGTAAATAATTTGAAATACACTGATAAAGATATAAGTGACCAGTGAAATGTATAAAATAAAGGATCAGTCAGAGAGTTGTTGTTAACATAACCGAGAACATATCATGTTTTACACATATGTAACAGGCTCCTATGAGTACTTAGTAAAAGTTTTAAAAATCTTAGAAACACAACCATCCATATGCACAGAGGTTCGGCTGTGTACAGCTTCCATAACAAAGTTACTAGGAGTTTTCTTATGAGAGTTTATGCTTTTTCTGAGGAGTAATAAGTTGTGAAACGCATTGATATTATTTATCATTAATGCACAACTCTAGAGAATGCTATGAGGTTATAATCATGAAAGCTACCGAAGGATTTCAAATTCCTACTTAAATATCTACCGAAAATTTTAAACATCAACTGTCAAATCTTTGCCCGATAATTACATAATGGTATCATCATAATTTCGCATAAAACAATCAATGGTCAAACTGACATGTTCAGACTTATTTTCATACAAATATGGTAGTTTTTTAGGTTATTTATTCGAGAAAAGAAAAGATACAACTGGCAGATAAATGAACAGCCTTTTTCTTTAATAAAATAAAATAGAACCATTTTTCTGAACTTTGATAAATTATAAGCTTCTAACTAACTAACTAACTAACTAACTATTCACTGTCGAAGAGAAGAAGAACTTAAATAATCTACATAAGAGTATGATTAGAAAACGGTTAGAAATTGTAAACAATAATAATAATAATGATAATAATTTTTAAAGTTCGTAAACATCATGAACTTTTAACTAAGGAAAACTAATATTTAATTTTATTTTTTTTGCTATTCCATTAAAATAAATTTCTTATTCAATCAAATGAGATTTTCTTCATAACTGACTAGTTATATGAATTAATTATAATGTTTTTAACTTTTGGGTCATGTCCTGAAATATTATATATCTATATATACATATATATATATATATATATATATATATATATATATATATATATATATATATATATATATATATATATATATATATAAGAAGAATAAAATTCCAGTCACAAATGTTTCTTATCAATTTATATCAAGAAATAACTTTACGCATATCTAGCAATCGAATGTTACAGATTTGAATTCAAATTCTATCAGTACAATATAATCGACAGACATTTGTACATTTATAATGATTAAGTCATCTTATAAATAAATTAAAAATAATGATGGTTTTATTTATCAGTCTTTAATGAATAAAAAATTTATTTAACAGAGACGAAAAGACACATAATTGTGATGGCTAACTTTGTATTTTATTCGAAAAAATTATAATTTTTCGTTTCGTCAAAATTTGTCTATTTTTACAATGTAAATCACGATATGAACTTAGCTAGATCTCAATTGAAAACCAGCATGAAAATAACTCTTTAGCAAAGCGCATCCACCAACAAACCACTGTCTATGGAACCTAGGATATCTGGTTTCACACGTGAACAATCAACTTCATTAGTGTTTAGTCCACATTTGATGATGTTAATGTTTAACTTCAACCAATTTTGGATATTGTGAGATAATATAACATTAACTATGCCAAACATGGTTGAAATTCATTAGTCCACAAAAGCTCTTCTTCACTCATTTGACAACACATGTTATGCATCGATGAAAATAATTTCACTGATTATGTATTCCCAGAATATTGTAAAATTAATTTAAGTGTGAAAGAATCCTTGTTATTAATATAAGCATCGAATGAATAACACCAAAGAGAGTCTCAAACTGAAAGTCTGAATAATGTAGACTTCATTCTTTAGTGTAAAGTAAGATTTATATTAAACAAAAGTTAAATATCTAACCTCAACCTTTATCAATAGTGATGTCCAGTGAAGCAATGGTTCAATGGCCTATTATAGTGAACTAGCCGATAAAACTCCAGTTACAGTGGTAAAAACCATACATCAACTACTAATAACTAAATTAATTAAACATCAAGTAAGCTGTTTTATACTTGGCAATCGAAAAATTAGCTGGTTTCCTAAAGTTCTAAACAGTAAAAATAAATTTTCTTCAGTGGCATAAAAGCATTGCTAAATGTATGAATGAGAATTTAGATATTTCTGCTATCAACTATTTTACAGTACTTATATGAGAAACAAAGCTGTTTATAGGATGAACAATAAAATCTCTAGCCTTATACTACACTATCAAAAGAAAATAATATTTTATATTGAACTTGTGTAGATTGATTAAAGAATGGGTGAATTTTATGGGAATCTAGTTTACAACTAAAGTGATTAAGCGGTCGCAATTCTTTTTTCGCAGGCAACGATGCCTTATTTCCAAACCTTAAATATTTTCAAATATTTTTCAAATTCTCGTGTTTATTTATACATTTGAATTTTACACACAGGATGCCAATATGCCAAGCAGACTTAATCAATTACAGTCCCAAATATCAATGGGAAGTTGAAAATAACCAATGTAAATGAAAATTGAATTTCTATTTTTACAAACACATTTCTAAACACTAGTCTAATCCTTTATGTATATATAATTGTGATTTCTAGTTTGTCTAAGGATTTCAACTAGGATTTACTGTGTTATTTTTAAAAAATATTGAACGGAATGAAAATCGGGATACTTTTTTTTAAAGGTTTATAGATATCTTTTAATCAAATAATAATATAGTTTTATTTATTTTAATAATCTGTGTAATTACAGGGACTCATTACAGTTATTTCGTTGTTTTATAGTTTGTTATCACCGAACTAATGCCATATACAAATAAGCCAATGAAGAGATTTATTTTTCAGTTAAATAGAGTTTGACATGTAGGTTCAAAGTTTAAATCACTGTAACAGATTAGATAAATCAAGGCGAAAATAAGTAGAAGAAAATAAAAATAGGTTCTCAGTCCTAGAATGTTATGTTACTAATTTTGTAGAACGTATGAATACACAATGATACATTGCTACTTCAGCTAATGACTGAAATCATGTATCAGTTTACAGTTAAATATTCGATTTGAACAAATAAAACATACAATAGCTGCAAAATATTCTAACTTTTGCTAATATTAACTGGTTTGTAGTCTTTAACATCAACATACTAAATTGTTGTTTACATGAAGCCCTATAATCTTTGGATTCGGCAATAATAATAATAATAATAATTATGTGTGTATACATGTTACAAGTCGCAGCACGTTAACCGCCTTTGGTTAAAAAATAATAACATGCTGAATCGCAAATCTATTCGATTAAAATTTTTACACCATTCCATTCTCACTTCATAATCTAACAGTTCTACTCTGACAATTTAAAATTCCTAGTTCTATACTTTGTAGAGTCATGAAATGGGAATTGTCTAGAAGTTTTATTTTAAGATAGAAAATCTATGGATTATTCAAAGGTTTTCACTGGTATTTTAGTCAATATTAAGCCTTGACTGACTTAACTTCAGACTGAATTAAATCTTGATAAACCAGTGAGTTGAATAAATAAATGTTTATTATTTCTCTACTTTCATTACTTCGTACTTAAGAAATTATCACAAATTAGAAAATTTGCTTTGTTCAACTATTCTGCAGAAAATTTAATTTGAACTTTTAATGTACATCTCATTTTATTGATCACTCATCAATTAAAACAAAACAAATGAAAACATAAATCTCTCAAAGAAAATCGTTTTTTTATAATATCCGGTACCTCAGTTACCAATAAACATTTCTGAATAAAATTTAAATATTAAGTAAGAAAATAAACAGCTGACTGAAAAGTGTAGAGCGGTGATTGTAACGACACAATCACTCTATGCTTATATGTATGAAAGTAAGAGGATAGGCTATCGACGTCGGCTTTTAGCGAAATTCAGGATCAACGTTTAATCTCAGTCAAGACTCATCAGCTGGACATATCTACAACCCAGTGTTGCTACTCATTTGGAGATTAGAACCCACTGTCTTTCGTTATAAAATTCTCTCAGAATGCATATACCACAAAAGAGACTTATCAGTCAGAGTCTGTATCATCAACATATGAATGGTTCAATTCTGCAGATGAGTTAATAATAAATTTAGGCGACGCAGCGAGAAGGCTAAATGTTTCAGAAATATATTGAATATTAACATGATATATATAGAGGAAATCTTATCATGTATCGATTTTCTAAAAAGTGTTTATGCAAAGACTAAAACATCAGACTATTTAAATGTGAAGATAGTAAAACAATATGGATCTAACCATTCTCAATATTAAATCGATATTATCTAGTTAGGCTGAAAGTTAGAACAAACTATTTATAAATCAACAAACTCACTATGGTAGAAGTTTTAATAAACCTCCACCATAGGACTGAGTGCTTGATTATAAAACGCTGCAAAAGGATGCTGTGATATCAACTCTGTGATCAGTCACAACTAAAAGTTTAGTTGTATACATGAATGAGTTCACGGTCGTAAATAGCGTATCTGAAGGTGCAAACCATTTATCAGAGAACTTCAAAAGTAAGTTAGTCTTTCAAGTGAATGAAAAGCTTTCCGTTTAAGATAAA